TGTCGAGACTGCTTGAGGTTGCGCAGAGATTTTACAATTGGCACAGCACCAAGTGAATCTTCTATCACCTAGTCTCCGATATCCTACCTCAGTAATGCCTCCACACTGAAAGTGAAATTCCAACTTGCAGACAGAGCAGGAAGCTCCGTCCCTGATCTCCTCTCCACAGCTACCACACAAGTTAGACATATCGTAAAATAGATAGCGACGATTGAGAATCACTGTAACTAGTATTAAATCCGAAAGGTATGATTCACTAACAATGTATACGTCCGCACGCCGCAACGCTTGACGAGAACTGAAACTTGAGGGGAGCCTTTTCACCTCGACTCTTTTGTATGGCTTGTTCAGCTCTAGGTCACCCAATTTGACCCATGTTTTTTTGCCGAAAGTGTTGAGCTTGGCCAAGGCGGTGGTGGCGGATGAAGACATGATTTTTGAAAGTTGCACTTACGGTTTTCTGAGGTAAAATGCTTGCAGTTTGGCGTTGGTAACTTCTTTAGGTAAGTATTTTCTATTACTTCTCAATGTCCCTACTAAATGTGTCTTTCTTTTACGCATTCGCAGTGCAAGTGGAACACTTGTGTAATAGTTATCTGTGTACATGGTCCTGCACTCATTGAAAAGACCCTCTGACAAAGAAAGTACTACCTTTTCTGAGACTTTAGGTTCCTTCGATTTACCGCAATATACAATTAGGTTCCATGTGTAGCCTTTCTCATTACACAGTTTGAACACTTTAATTCCATATTTGGCCATTTTATTTGGAATGTATTGGCGGAAGATAAGTCTACCGCGCCAAGCGACTAATGACTCATCGACACAAACTTTTTCTCTTGGTGTGTAGACATTTTGATAGTTTTTTATAAACATGTTGAGTACATCTTTTATTTTATACAGTCTGTCATCAGTATCAGCAGATCATCTGTGAAGAGGTGACGATCGACAACGGGCCCATCGTCCTCAAAAGCCGGTCTACCAAGCATAGTACTTGTAGATGGCTCACGTTTTGTCCACTATTTTCAGACGCCATCACAAGGAATCTGAAAATGATAGCGAGAAATCAGTGTCGTAAAGCCAAGTTTAAAAAAAATTGCAAATAAAATAACGCACATTCGCGTAAAAATAAAAAAAACGTAAAAAGTAACGGCTTTCTATCGGATATTTTGCACTTTAACCAGTGTACTTTCATCAATTCTGCAGCTAAATGAAGTTATGATTTAAGAACTACAGATCTTTTCTTTTTAGTCACGTAAGTATACGAGTGTAGCAGATTCTGAATCTGCTGTATCTAGAATGCAAGCAGGTATTTCTTTCTTGTTTTTACGCATGGTACCCACAACAGAAATCTTATAACCCTTGGCCAAATCGTTCGTCAGCGGCACACTGGTATACCAATCGTCGATGGTAAGGTTTCATTTAACTTAGAACTTAACTAAAAAAAAACTTCGTAAAAACGTCCAAAATATGACATGTTTTTAAAAGGGTAGTTACGAGTATTAAAAATGACGATGGTTGTACTGACTAATTGCAAACAGCAGCTTTTTAGATCACGCAAAAACATGGCGTATAAACGCCGTTTTTTCTACACTGCCGAAACTTTAATTGCCCGTTGGCTACCGAATAGCGTGAGCGTTAATGTGTGTCTTTTCGTAGCACTGTCATGGCGTCGCTTATTGTATCCCGACTCACGCCTTTTGGGCCTAGGCTACAGGCTAGGCTTCTAGAGGTTGTTCTTCGTCCTCAGTCTCACAATAATCTTCACTTGATGAAGAGGTATCAGATAAATGTTTGCGATTCATTTGTCTCTTGTAAGAGGTCATCATCCCAATACTTTTGTCGAAGTCTGTCCACATGATTGACTTCTTTTTTCCAGTCACTCTCACTTATGCTGGTAATTGCATCTCTTGTTAACTTTTCTATTTCCCTTTCTGACTGGTTGATATTTTTATAGGCTACCCTTTGCTTGACCAAATTCCAAATATATTCAATTGGATTGAGGTTACACAATACACATGTATGGTGGTAGACGAACTACTTCGTGGCCATACTCTTTAAAAAGTTCATCAATCAAATATTTTTTTGGGGGCTTATTTATATGTAATAAGTGATACATTTCAGATTTTCTCATTCTTTCATCAAATGTTATATTGTGGTCTAATAACCATTGACATATAGTCTCCTTCGTCGCCACTCTTGTTGGTGGTTTTTCTATTTGAGTTGAGTGGAACGGTACATTATCTAGTAGGTACCACGATACTGTTAAGTGGCAAATTCGGAATTAAGTTTTCAAGAACCCACTTTTTAAAGTTTGCGGTATTCATCTCATGATGGTAATCTCCCGAGTTGCTTTTGCATTTGTATATGAGCTCAGCCCCATTCGCGAATCCGTTCTCTCCACCGCCGTGAACAAAATCCATCTTTGGCCGGGATTATTATTTTTTTTTACAGAGCATCAGTGTTGTTTTGCCAGCATTTGCTCACTGTATAGTGGGAATGTATCCACGTGTCATCTACATAAATGACAGATTTTTTCCTCGCACCCATGGCATCATTTTCCTTTAGACGTCGTAGGTACCTTGCCCGCCAAGCTCGAATATCTGGTTTTTGAGTAAGATAATGTTTTTTATCTTTACATTTTTTGAATTCGTAGCCTAATTAGTCTACTAACACTTTTCTTAAATATGTTTTTTGCCCTTGAAAATTGAGGTCTCTTTTAGCCACAGATAATATTTTATTTAAAGTAGGTATTTCTTTCCTGACAGTGTAAATGCTATTTACGATATTTCGCAAGGCACATACATCAAATCTGTGCAATTGGATACGGTTACACTTTGGCTTCCGTTTTTTGCCAGGTGTTGACCATTTTACTTCACTTACTGGCGTAGAACTTGTAGAAGTACCTGGTGTAGGGTATGTCGCGTTGAGCGTCGCGCGTAACCTTTTCGACGTCAGGCGAAATAAAATAAAACAATTATTGCGATCTGTGGCATGGGGGGAGCGCCCCGAGCGACGGTTTATTATTTTTTTTATCATGGCGACAGGCTACTCGAAATTAGAAATAAGTGTGATCGGTAATAATTAATAATAATATGAACGAAAATGTACTAAGCGCGGTCGATTCGATTACGGGCGCCCGCTTGCAGGTTCATTTAACTGGAAATTGAATACTACCGAACTTTATGACTGTATTTGGTGTGATAATACTCTATCCGAATGTTTATGTATTGGAAATAAAGCACATAATAGTGCCCACTTAAAACAGGCGTCATCAGTGTTTTTAACATTAATAACAAACAGTTTTTTATTATATCATGCGGTAACTCAATAAAAGATTTCTTCTTAAAGGATTAAATTGATTTCAATTCATATCCTAATGCATTTTTTTTTTTGAAACTTTACCCACTATCCTTTCTCTCGAATTAATTTAATTAGTTTATTAGAGAATTCGTGAGAGTTGAATAAAATATATTTAAACCATCACCAATACAACAAATAAAATTCATTGATTGGGAAGCAAAAGGGTTGTTTATTTCTCCTGAACAAATTCACCATATAAAATAAAATTTATTTTTAAAATTGTGTGACCTATAGATTTATTTATGTAAGTATAGTATGTAACTTTGAAGCAAGAAATAAATCTGGTGTCTCAAACTGTAAATCATTTTGATTACCGAACGCAGTCTCAATTATCTTAACATTGGGTTTTATTGAATGTTGTATTTTATCATCATTATTTTTGTGTGCATTGCTCCTTAGATGACTAGAGAAATATCTTAATATTGGGTTTTATTGAATGTTGTATTTTATCTTCATTATTTTTGTGTGCATTGCTCCTTAGATGACTAGCGAAATATTTTTTGAAAACATTTCAAATACAGCAAAGTTTCGTGTTAGAATTATTAACTTCATTCAATGTTGATGGCTCTTGTGAAGACCGTGAAAGATCAATGTTAGATCCAGATTTTATTCTTTTGATGTCAACAGTGTTAATATCAACATCTGCTTTCCTCTTGTTTCCGCGACCCTGGAATCGATCATGGAAAAATCTAATAAAATTATTAGATAGGGATGGTCGATTTATTTTATTTAACTGTTAGAAATGCGAATAGAGAAAGAAATATTTTATTATTAAATATACTCACTCACAGGTTTCCATCAAATTGAGTTAAATCATTACTTTCTATTTCATCACAAACATTAAAAAGTTCAATTGTAGAAATGGATAAGCTTTCAAATTTATGATGATCCATTTCATCAAAAAAATATATATTTATTCGTTTCACAATTTTAGTTATTGTGAAAAGGTCTTCAACAAAAAGCACAATGATTGACTTTGTACAATGCAACTTAGTATTTATACTAGTGGATAACTGAAACATTACCTAATTATATAAACATATGGTATTAGAATCCGATAGGTAGTTGACTAATTACTAATTAAGTCATCGCATTAAGAAACTAAAGGAACCTAATTTTTAAAACTATAATGTTTTTACTACCTTCCTTGGATATATCCTTTGTTATGTTATATAAAATATCCTTTATCTGAAGATCAATGTTGGAATCGTTTTCGATGTAATATTTAGCACGAATTTTTAATAAATATTTAGCATTTTTCCGATGTTGTGAGACCGGGATTTCTTTCTATTTTTATTTGATTTCGAACTATTAAATTTTCACTAGTATATCAGTGTCCATTCCATCATCTTTGTCTGTTGATATATATGAAATGTTTCCTTCTTCCATATACGGCCAACATTGGAAGAAAGTTTAGTTTTTTTTTTCATTTTCTGGTCAGGTGCTTAAAGAAAATAGTCATCTAAACGACGGGTCCTCTTATTTTTATTGTTTGGTTTGAAATCTCTTCTTCATCAGATAAAACATAATAATTATACGGCCTGAAACATTTTTCCACATCTTTGAGGTTGTATTACTGTAACTGTCTACTGTTTTATCTATACTGTCGTCCAGTCTGTTTAATTTTTGTTCCTCTTTTATTACGTGTTCAACACAGTTCTTCCATTTTCGTCTCTTTGTGAGAGCGGCGCCGGCTGCGCCTGCGGTCGCGGCGTCATATTTTGCGTGGGCGGCGGTGTCGTCTGCGCACAGACACGCTTGGGTGCCTTCCCGGCGGCGTCCTCGTCAGAGTCCGGCGGCGGCGGGCGGCGTAGCGAATAATTTTGCGCTCGTCTCGCTTCGGCGAGCGCATTGTGTTCATCACTTGACAGAGGTGACGTGAGTAGACCCTGCTCTAAAAGGCGCCTGCGGGTCTGCGCGAGATACTCGCACATAGCTCGTGCGAGCCCGTCCGTAGCTTACCATCTCATAGGCAGCTCGCGCGGATATGGGCCGGGATAAAACTATATCGGGCCTCTCAATCAAGGCGCTGTTTCTTTTTTTCGTGACATACTTAAATTTTAAGTGTTTCAGCATACGCCACATCGATGTGCGGCTGAAATTGGGCAACATGTCGTCTTCATTGACAGCCTGTAAAATATTGTCTATTGTTGGCATCTCACCCTTTAAATAAATTTCGTGAACTTTTTTTCTAATGCACGATTTGTCGAAGTTGTCAATCTTTCGATCAAATTAGGACGCTTTTTTAATGGGGCTGGTGCCTTCACTGTGCCACATTCCTTGTATTCATTTAAAACACGGTAGACATTAGTCTTCCCAATGCCTAAAATATCGGCACTCTCCTTTTTTATGTCCATTTTTTATTTATATTTATCAGCAGGCCATGTTTCTTGTACATATTTGTAAATATTCACAATCATATTTTTTTCGTTTTCTGAAATATGTGACACCTTGCGCTTCTTACGTGGTGACGTAAAGTCTTTAAACGGTTTTGATGTCGACGGACCTGGACTGTCCATGGCTGTTTTGTATGTGTATGTGCTCATTCAATTGAAGCTTGACACCAATTTTCCAATTTTCTCTTGCTGAACTTTTGAATAGCCGTCGCAACAAATCAGACAGGAATAATTATCATCGTCACTTTCCTCATTTCATTGGAGAATTTTTTAAGAAACACTCTACTTTCATTTCTTATCCACGTTCTTCTTTGGCTTCTTAATTGTTTTTGTTTGTTTGGTTTTATTTTGTTGCTCTTCTAAAGCGTTCTTTTCGGGAGTGTCTTTTAGCATTGCAGCTTTCCTCTTTTTACATCATTTGTTTCGTTTTCTTTGTTGCTTGAACCAAGTTCGGGTTTAACTTGGCTGGTGGAGGTAGAAGGAGTGGGATTAGGTTCTGACAGGACAACACAGGTTGCTCTGGATGATCTTTTACCGCCTCAATAGTTTCTGGTTCAGGACGATCGGTTATAAATGACGGTGAAAGCTCATCCTCACCAAATATTTTTGCATTGTACGGGAAGATGTCTATCTTTTGGGAATCGTTAACAATATTTACGAGCAAGTCAAAACGCGAGGTCGCGCTGGAGCGTTTTTAAAAAAAGTAAATTTTATTTTCAATTAATATTTATTCGACCGGTTACACTGGTGATTAGCTTAAGACTAACTTAATATCTAATATTCGAGACTGGGAGCTAGACAGTCCGTCAGCATATTTCGTGAGAATACGCGTGGGTGTTTCCGTTTATAGATAATGAAATATGTCTTGTGACTGTGTAACTAGCATACTTGTCTCAGCAAACTGCAACGAATCAGCGACAATTTTTGGTATATCATAAATAGTATCTAAGGGTTTTAGCAACCACTTTCTGTAGATGTTAAAGCTGTTTGAAATAAAGGTATTTACATTTACGTGTTACGATTAAGTTCTCGTGTGTGTGTGAACCTTTGATGCTTTTCCGCCATTTTTTGGTAATGATTCAGCTGAAAATAATAATATATGAAAAGGTTATTTACATTGTATATTATATGTTTTTCTTCAACTTTAGCGACACTAACTCCTTAGGTAGCCCTCTTCGATTTGATCTTAGGGTACCGCAATAAAGGGTTTTGTGAGATAGGAGTTCTTCCGCCGATTCAATTGAAGAGTAGAAATTGCCTGCAATTACTACACGACATTTGTTCTCCAGCAATTGAATGAGTTTCAGTACGGTGACTTTACCATGATTTTGTTCTCGGCCATTTTCTCCCTTTCCAGAATAAATTATTGAATTATATGTATACCCTTCTGGAGTGCATAACTTGTAAATTTCAATACCATACTTGTGTGATTTGTTTTTAAAGTATTTATTTATTTGCTAACAGTATTCCTACAGCTACTCACTAAACGATATCCAAAAATTTACATTGTACACAAAAGCCAAATGTGTATTCCACATTCAAACATAAACAAAGCACAGTTTCACCTATATATACAAAAAAAATAAAGAAAGTATATATGTATTTATTATAAATTCTAAGTTCTAAGATTCATTGATCATTATAATATATATTTAATATAAAGGAAGAATAACAAAGCCATTATTAATAAAAGATACCAGTTTTTTAAATTATTTAAAATAATTTTAGTATATTAAATATATCTAATTGCTATTGTTTGAACTTAAGCCTGCCACGCCATGATATCATTGATTCATCTATAACAATGAATTTACCGGGCGTTAATACTTCTTGGAATCTGCTGTTGAGCATATTAGCCAAATCTGATGCTTTGGCTTCAATAAGCTTTGGTATAAACTTTTACCTAACATGTCAAATAAATCGTTAATATTAGGCAAAGGATATTTGTCATCAGTAGTAATGTCATTTAGTCGTCGATAGTCTATGACCATTCTCCACTTTTTCCCTCCGGACGCATCTAGTTTCTTTGGTACTAGATGTACCGGTGCACTCCAAGGAGAGTGTGACTCTTGAAATATTTTGTCTTTTAACATTTTTTTCTACCTGTTTTTTTATTTCTGTAGTATGAACTGGGGGTAAGCGGTGAGCTGTAAAATTAATTGGATCTTCGTTCTTTGTCCGAATCTCGTGTTTCACTTCGTTACTAAAAGTTAGCGGTAAATGTTCGCAATAAAAAATGTCTTTATAATCTCTACAATGTTTTCCAATCGTATTTCAAAGTAACTTCAGATACGGTGGTCTTGATTCTCTTTTCATCGTGACAAAATAAAATACCAGATAATTTTTTTATTGCTTATTTAGATTATGCAAAAAAGCCGATGCTACTTTATTCTACCCTTTTGGTCTTTCGTCTTCAGTCCAAGAGTATATATGAGTTTTTCCTTACATACAAAGATTGTAGATGTAAGGTTGGCAAAGGTAGTAAGAGCTCTGGTCTGGTTATTTCGGAAGCACTAAATTCTTTTGGCAGTCAAATGAGATAAGTAGGACATTAGGATCATCATTTCTTACGCGCCTATACAATGCATTTGCTCGTAATTTGTTAATTCTGTATTCTGTTCGAAGAGATTGTTTCACTGGTTCAATTGGAGTATTTTTAATTCTCTCTAATAACTCCATGCAAGAACACTTATCAGTTGCAGAGTACGATAAGATACATGTAATAATTTTCTAAAATAGTTATATTTCACTTTCAAGGAACGAACTACTTTGTCATTGTACATTTTACGCAATGTTTTATATATTTTTATTTATTTGCTCAACAATATTCCTACAGCTACTTTCTAAACAATATCCAAATAACTACATTTTACACAAATGCCAAAAACGGAATACACATTCAAACATATACAAAGCAAGTGTGGAGATCTTGATAAGATCTTCCATGGCAGCCGAGTATTTAAAGACCATACTTTGTCATTTCTGAAGTTTTGATACCATGAAAATTTCGAATCTGCTCTATATTGAAGGTCCAATATCTCCGTTTGCAATTGAGAGGTGTCAAATTCATATTTATCCTACTATTTTCAAGTTCCATTAACCCTAGAAAGATAACCATATTTTGCTATGCACTAAAGATTTGTGATAATTTTGGGTACAATATCCATAACTCGAATATTTTCCTAGGTCAGCTTCAAATATCACATTGTTAATCGCTTGTTTGACGTATATTTAAGTGTGTGAATCATATCTACGGAGTACATTAGCTATGTGCTGGCCGTAAGAAAAATATGGGTCAGCAGATGATGCAGCGGATTCAGTTAGAACCTGAAATGCTTTTTTCAGCAGAGGGGAATCTTCTTCAGCGTTTGCCTTTTTCTTTTTCATTACTCGTTACTCTTTAGAGCTATACAATTGTATTAGTAAACGGCACTTTTCGTTGCCCATTTTGACGTATTCGCCGCGCGAGCAAAATCACCAAAACTACAACGGTCCGCACTGCGCGCGAGCGAACGACTGAAGCTCCTTTGGAGCGGTCTCAAAAACCGACAGCGAGCAGATCGCCCCGCGGCACGTTCGAGCGCAATAATGTCCGCGTCGCCGCGGGCGTCGATCCCGTCTACATAGAGCGCGGCCGCCGCGCGCGCCAATGGTCGATGGTTTGCCGCGCTTAATTTATACGCACCTTAAAGCGAGCTTGTCTGTGACCTAAAGACAACTTTGGACCATTTGCTGGTCTAAAAGGGGTGATATCCGCTTCCTTAAACCTTCTTCTTATTGTTCGTGCACTAACGTTTACTCCACGCATTTCAGAAAGTTTTGTTTTGATGTTAACTGACGTGAGGAAACGATTTCGCAGGGAAGTTGTAACAATAAATCGGTCATCAAGACCGGTGGTTGCTCGAGTTCTGCCTGTACCACGTTTCCTTTTGTAAGAACCAGTCTCCACAAACTATTTGTATTTTGTGGCAAAGTTGGTGATGGTGTTGAAATATTATAATATGAAGGAGCTTTGATGTACAAGAGTGTAGGAACTATAGATGGATTGAGAGCTTGTCGATATCACAGATAAGTCATTTGAAGACTGTGAATATGGATAATTCCCCATATTAATTTTCTTTACTAATTGCAGCATTCCTAACTGAAAATATATTTTTTGGTTAGGATTAATTTTTTCATGTAGCTTCTGAACCTTGATGAACGATGAATATGAATGTCACCTTTGCAGGGCACCTGTTACGAGGCCTGCGAGGCTTTACTTTACTGCCACTTGGACGGCCTCTTTTACATATCAACATTTTATTTCGCAACAACAGACTTTCAGCCAACCGACGCCGAAAGTGAAGCAATGTCAGTTGTTTGGTTTTAGGTATGCTAAGCGCCTCGTTGTCGACTTGGTATTCTCGGTATGCTTGAACTACTGCTAAATCTGATGCATGGAATATCATGCGTAAGGTCCATTTTTATGTTTTATAAACTCATGAGTTGATCTAGCAAATCTACTCCTCCCATCGCATGATTGTACTTCCTTACAACTTTGGGGCGATCCACTTCAATAAAGTGCTTATGTTTTTTACACCAACCTCTTTACTAAATCTTTTTCACCAATTCCAACAAAATTAGATGCTAAATGGGTAATCTTATTATCCAACCATTTGACCACAGTTACATCTTCATCATAGACGATTTTTAGGTAGATCACCCATGAGAGGAGCATTTATCCGACCTTTTATACGTGTGCATAAAACACACCTTCTGTATACAGATTTAGCCAGGTTGCGACCACCGATTGGCCAGTAGACTTCTCTAACTGATGCTAACAGTAGCTGCGGTCCAGCGTGCATAAGCCTAACATGTTCATATTGAAATAATAATAGTGTAAAACGATGAGTGGACTGTAATAACAAAGGGTGTTTTTTATTATACGAAAATTCTGAGTTATTAATACGACCGCCAACTCTCAATAAACTGTTTTCATCAAGAAAAATATTAAATTTTAATAATGAACTTTTTGAAGGCAAATTTTTCTTTTGTTCTAAAATGTTATACTCAGAAAATGATTCCTTTTGAACTACTCGAACTATAGTATTTAGGGACTCATTTAATTCAGTTTCTGTAAGAAAATTAGTTTCTGCTCGATGTCCTTTACAAGCTCTTATAAATCTCAATACATAGGCAACACATCGACGCAATCTAATAAAGTTCGAAAACCGTTCAAAGTTGATGAATGTAGGCATATCACATAAAACAAATGCGCAATTTTGATTACGTAATTCAGGCAATATTTCTAACTTAATAACTGCGTATTCGCCACATTTCGGAGGAATATGGGAGTCGGCAGTCAAATCTACTAAATATCATTTAGTTCGAGTATTAGGTAATAGTAAATTGACGTTCGAAGAGTTGTATACAACTTTAACTCAAATAGAGGTTATATTGAACTCTCGGCCACTTACCCCCCTATCATCAATACCAGTAGATTTGACCCCACTGACTCCAGGGCATTTTTTAATTGGTCGACCTTTCACGGCAATTCCAACTTCTGATTTACGGCAAGAAAAGGAATCTCAATTAAATCGATTTAAAAGAACAGAACAACTTCGTCAGCACTTTTGGGAGCGATGGAGTAAAGAATACATTTCAGAATTACAAAAACGCACGAAATGGTTAACATCAAAGCAATCCTTGGCTCTTAACACGATGGTAGTGATAAAGGAGGATAATCAACCTCCTCTCAAATGGAAGTTGGGCCGCATTGTAGCGCTACACCCTGGTCCAGATGGAGTTGTTCGAGTCGCTGACGTCCTAACTTCGAATGGAGTGATCCGGAGATCCTTTTCCAAATTTGTCACGACAAGATGGTGTCGTATATTGTACAATGCGCGCAGCCAAAGATGAGACCTGTCAGATGCTAGTAGAGAGGATTTCGCGCATGTACAGTCGCGTTCAAAATAGTTAAATAAAACAATTAGTTCGGATTAATAAAATATTTTATTGCATATCGAAATCGCTATCGCTGTCTTCATAGTTTATAAAACGTACACCGCTTATGTACTCGTCGGTGCGATGGCAACCACTATCACGAGCTGTCCCACTTGTGCTTGGCTGTGGTGCGACTATTTCATCTTCGTCGGAGCTATTTTCACTATTCTCCGTGTCACTGTCACTATCATCAGAAGAAGCGCCAACTGCTATTATTATTTCTTGATCTGTTAAATCGTCAATAATGTGATCATTTTCAATGTATTCATTTTCTATTTTTTTCGTTTTTTCACATAAAGCTTTCCATTCATTTGGACCCATTTGGTCTACCTTCTCCTTCACCAACTCCATAACTCTTGTAATGTTCCACTTCACGTTCTTACTACTGACATGACCTTTTATTGCTGCCCATGCCATTTCGATAGGGTTTAAATCGAGATGATATGGGGGCAATCTAAGAACGCGGTGGTTATGTTCTTGCAGTATTTTGTCGATGCTGTAGATTTTGTGGCTCTCTTTGTGTTTTTTTATTATGTCGTAAAGCTTTGACTTCAACATGTCGGAAGTAAACGCGATACCTTTTTCTGCAAGCCAAGATTGCATCTCGGCTTTTTTCGTATTCGAAGTTGGCGCATTCTCATCCTCCTTGTTATGGTAGGACGCATTATCAACTACCACGACGGCATTTGGTGGGAGATTTGGAATCAATTGTGTCTCAAGCCATTTTTTATAATTAATGAAATTCATGTCGTCGTGGTATTCCCCTGATTTTGTTCCTGATTTGAACATTAATAAGGCATTTGGAACAAAACCATCTTCAGAACCTGCGTGCACGATGACAACCCGCTGACCTTTGGAAATTGGTTTTTTTAGTCCTTCCGATGACAGATCAGACCAACCTTTTGATGTTGTGTGCGTAGAATGCACATATGACTCGTCTGTGTATATTATAGGGCAGCCTTCTTGACGGTATTTTCCGAGTTCCTTTATATATTTAATTCTTTTGAGGCGTATATCGGTCTTTTCGATAAGAATTTTTCTATTATTTTCGGTCTTCCTCCACCGAAACCCAAGATCTTTTATAATTTTGCGCAAACTGGTTGCGGATCCCTGATATCCGATGTCATCACGCAATTTATTTTTTATCTTTTTAATTGTAGGGAGTTCTTTATTTGTTACATGAAAATTGTGAATACAGCGTTTGATCACCCCTTTATCAAAATCATCCATGCCGGTTACGGGGTTTGATCTCGGACGTTTTTTTCCCGGAGTACGAAACACGGACAGCAATCTGGAGCTATTTGCTTCCTTCACAATTCTCTTCACCGTGATAAGTGATGTCTGAGTGGCAGCAGCGGTACGTTTTTGTACCGCTTTCAAATTGCCGACGCCTTCCTCCGCTTCTTTCGCCATAAACTTGTAAACGTCATACACCATCTTCCTACTTTGTCTTTTTAAAGTTTTGCCTCGCGGCATAGTCAACAAAAACGACAACAAAATAAGAAAACAAATAACTGTAACAAATAATACAATAACGAATAACTATAACAAAAAAAAAACGAAACAAAGGAAAACAACTATCAACTTTTGCACTGATCAGTACTTCGGACCACAGCGGCGTGAGAGCAAGGTGCGGGGAGCGTCACACGACTGATACGCATGCGCGGCGGCCGTACCTAGCCCCGCACGCTCTCGTCTCACCGCGCAACGGTCCCGTCCCTCGCAGGTCGCAGGCGCAGGTCTAACCACGTGATCCGTCAAGTCTCATCTTTGGCTGCGCCTATTGTAAGCAATCAAATAAATGATGCTAACATCAATAGCTCAACCCTCCCTTCTCCAAACCAGAATATCTCCCAACCAATCGAACCGCCTTATACGAAGACGATGGTTACCTCCTCTTGGTCACCAGACCTCCCTCCGAAATGAGATGGTTGAAAAACCACCTCAAAATTAAAAGTAATTTCTTGGCCAACTCTGTGAGCCGATTTTAAAAAGAAAAGTACTCACTTAAACACAGCAATCCAACACATAGAATCACACCCAAAAACTTGTATGTCGTCGCGACAAAAAACAACAAAAGCACAAATACACCGGGTCAATTTCCCCTTCACTTTTTGCCTTGTAGTTATGAAAGTATATAACATACAAAGTGCACAAACACATCTAAATAATCAGTAATAATTTCTGAATCTTTTTTTCGGATAGTGCCAGCAGCCATAATTCCTCTCTGTTTTAAAATTTGTAGCAGATGGTAGGACGAAAAATAATTTTCGAAGTATAGCTGGTGACCTTTGCTTTCTCCAATTCTCTTTGTAAGATGAAGGACTATAGCTGCACCGTATCCAATTTTTTTTGTTAAATTATTATCTAATTCTGGACTGGAACTCTGATAAAAGATAAAATCGTAAGCTTGACCATGTTTACCACATAAGAAAAAGATTTTCAGACCCCATGGACAAGGCTTGCCCTTTATATACTGTGTTGCCAAACAGTTTTCCGGTGAAAGGTACAATCTTTTCGTCAACACAAAGGTTTTTCTCGAGTGGTAAATCTAAAGACCTCTTTCTAACAGCATCAAAGATCGGGCGCACTTTTATAAACGCATCTTTAGAATGACCAGGTATTGCTGTATTATCACCTAGATGTAAATTGTTACGCAGCTCAAAAAATCGGTCCCTTGCCATGTTTTCAGTGAACAAGGGAATGCTGATATTTGGTTCCCAATACATTTTCAAACAAGGGTACCCAAATATTCCAGTGGCCAAATGCAATCCAAACAATATTTCTATTTCCTTGGCAGTAGTAGGTTTAAACCTTACTTTATTGGAATATGTAGCGTATAAGTTTGTCATTTCAGCCATAAACTGTAATAATTGTTTAGGCACGTATCTGTTATAATAATCTACTGGGCTTTCAACTCTGGGATCTATAGCAATGGTTGGAAACCAAGCTGGTGAAATTGTGTTTACTATTTTTTTGTGTCTCCACCTAATACTATGCTTCGGCGTAATATTCTGTAAAAGCGTATCTTCAGAGGCGGAAGGCACTTCTGCTAAAATGTTGTCACTCATTTCAACCCACGATGAAGATGCTCTTCATCATCACCATCATCCAAAGCTGGGGGGAATATTTCTGGTTGGTTCCGGCTGATGACATCTCCCATTCGGACACATCATAGCTCCTGTTCAGACGCAGGTCCAACTGGTCCTTCGTCATCAGAAGATAATTCTAAATCAGAAAGGCAACCTTCTAGTGCTCTAATAGCGTCGCGCGCTAAACATATTGGTAATTTCTTATCTGAAAATAGTATTAACACAATTTGTAACATCAAAAACAACAAAATTACACCATTCAATAATAATTATAATTTATTTTAATAATACCTTCGATGCAAAACAACAAATCAGAAATACATCGTATGCGCCTGATGTGTACATTTGCATACAAATATAAAAATCACCAAAATTTGTACAAAAATAAACTTAAACCAACAACATGTATGTAAAATATGACGACAACAATATAACACATCGACCTATAAATATTTCATTACATATACTTTGATATTTTCTACTATTTAGAAAAAAAAAATTACTTACCTGCACAAAGCAAACTTCTGTCGGATACTGGTCATAACTTGCCAAAAACTGTCATTAGATGCTAAGAGATGGCGTTGGGAGTATCGTTTTCGGTAGTTTATTAAGTGAACTAATGAACATAACCGTTTTTAGTTGCAAATAATGTGAAATACTTAAATTTATTTTTATATTATATGTATACACCAGGTCTGAAAGGGTTATAACTGAATGTGGATATAGCTTTTTTAAAAAACAAATTTTGAATTTGGAGCAACCGTCTTGGATAAAGAGTAGGAAACAATTAACTGGGTTTGAGCGGAATGTTTATTATATAGGAAGCAAAGTGTTTATGTTGTCGAAAAGAGAGAATGAAGTCAGCTCTAAGGCTAACAGAATAAAGGTCGATTCACCCATATCAGTGAGCCCACAGTTCCGGCACAGTACCGCATCAGTGATAATTATTCTTTCAAACATTCTCTATGGATGTATTCACACTTGTCAGTGTCAGTGTCGTCTCAGTACCGTCAGTGTCAGTGCCGGCACCGGCCATCACGGACGTGATCGGCGACAACGATATTTTATCACGGATCACTGACGCCGCGTTATTATTTGTTACATTTTATTTATTGCAGAAGAATATTGAAGCAGCTCTCTGACATTTTAAAATATTTTCTTTAACTAATTCTTTGTATAATATGATGAATTCTCCTTCCGTCTCTCTTAATTGCCATGCTTCATGCACCCATTTTCTTTTTTTTCCTTGATGCTGCTCTTCTTCTTCGTCTAAAGCAACAGCTATCATTGCTAGCTCCGTAGTATTGAATAGAGCCATAATCACGTTACTTGACAACGCGACGGACACGTTTTCACTGAAGCTCCGTAAACTGAGTACTGACATGTGTGAATTGAAGCACTGACGCACCACTGTAGCACGGATACGGAACTGTAACGGTACTGTGCCGGAACTGTGGGTTCACTGATATGTGTGAATCGACCTTAAGGGTGTAACATCTCCTGGAGTAAGACTAAACTTCGGGGTTAAAATTCGAAGTTTAGGAAAAGATATCCTTTATAGGTGTCTTCTGATGCTAGGTGCTGGGATATTTTCTGTATGATTTATTTCGGAGATTTGATCGAGAGGATCTGGATAGGAGACGGCTGCGTTTCTTCATTATAAGAAAAATCTTAAAAATACAGTATATAATAGTAACTCCTATAGAATATGATTGATATTATATGTTGATTTATAATTTCGTCAGCGGTGGCTGATATGACTGTTGATTTTAATTCATTAGCATAGTTAATATTTAATAATTTCAAAGGAGCATTATTCAATTTCTTATCAAACTTATCTAAATAACAACATGAGTCATTAATTATATTGAAGTCTGATTGTACATGATAATCTGTGGTATTGAGAGAATAAACTTTTAATTTAGGAATTAATTTTGTACCTTTACAATGTGCCTTACATTTATTTAGGATATTAACAATTCCAATGCCCTGTAGATTTTTTTACAATTACATTTTGGTTTAAGGATTCTATGTACAGTTTATTAGTCTGTGTTTATAAAGCCAATTGTTATTATAAAGAGTTTTCCATATATTAATTTTCCAGTATTTCAGTTTCACAACTAGGGTTTTCATTCGTTGAGAAAGTGTTCATGACGTCACAAATAAAGTTGTTGAGATTAACAAATTTACAGTTATTAATTAAGGGTATCTAGATGATAGTATTCTAATTTGTCTTTGGTCACTGCGATATATTTATATATTCCTTTTTTCTTAAGGATTGATTTTTCCGATTACCTCCAGAGTATGTATTTCTCTTGCGTGTAGGAAGTGGTGTTACTTTTATATAATTTGACACTTGCACTTTTCCACTTTTTATAACTTTTCACACTTTGTCTCGTATAGACTTTTGGCATTAAATTGTAATGACTCCATTTCACTGTTCGTAACCGTTGATTTAATCATCTCATATTGAGTTTGATACTTAGACCAATAACTTTCTAATGTTTATAAGCGTGTTTGTAGATAGCCACTTGTGTATCTTGATTTAGACGTCTTTTTAGTATTACTTTGTAACTTAAAAATACGTTCCGATAACGTCTTTGGTGATTCACAAAGTTGAGCCATTGTTTACGTTTATGCCCGAATTCACGGTGCACGAAATCAAAGTTAATATTTACAGCCTAATCTTACCAACTCGCAGTAATTAGCACTTAGACTTTTAGGCAGTTGTCCCACCAACGACGAGAAAACGACTAACTATCGGCTATTTTCTCGCTCAAGAAACGTACAATAGATATACTTTCTGTGTGAACAAAAGAGATGCATATACAAACAGTTGATCGCTGACTGTTCACACTGCCGGCGAGCACTCGCTTCACTAGTTTGTCGCTGAGCGACAAGAGCTATGAAAGATAACACTCGCTCGGCGATACTCGCCAAGCGATTAGAACTCACGCCGAACCACCGCCAACCAGTGGTCATTTCTCTACAGTGCGTATCTGAAAGTACACGTTTTTTTTTTAAGAGCGCTTATCCCAATTCAGCCAAGTCAAAATCGACGCGAGACGAGCTACACAACAACAAAATGCGTCTGTGTGCGTAAGCGCTATCTCGAACGTGGAATAGTAGGATAAAATAATATTGATACTTTGATATACACGGTCACGTGTGTGTGCCCCCATGAAACTTTTTAATTTTTTGTCAAACTAGTATTGGGTAAATGATACATCATAAATTACATTTTTAGATTTTATTATTTACAAACAAGTGCTCCTGATTGGCATCGACCGGCTTTTCCTGGGGTCGATATATTCAGGTAAGAGGCACTTTTCGTAGAAATTGATTAATTTCGGTTTCATTTTTTGGCACCAAAACCCTCGTCCCTTGATATTACTTCCACTTTAAGTGGAAATTGTTGACCAGTCCACACAGCAAAAAGACACAATTTCTTTTCGCTTGTAGGACCGTTTCGACCAACAAGCATCGGCTACTACTGTGATTGAAGGAATTCCTGTTATAACTTCACCACCTTCGATGGCTAGCTTTGCTTCCTCCTCAGCAGCCTCTTTCATTGATGCCTCTGCAGCAACTGCCCACCACTTGGATACGTCATTATGGCAAGTTGCATAAGATTTTTGACCTAAATTTGGAAGATCTATAGCACTCAAAAACTCATTCAGGTTGCTCCAACCACAACCAATTAACATGGCACCAGTCACTGCAGCATGGTTTGTGGTCATCTCTTTTGGAAAATTATTATTGCATAGTGTGACATTAAATTTCTTGTTACACATTGTACATTTGAAGTGGATTGTCGATTCTAAGCCATTAAGTATTTCTTTGACAATTTCAACATTACTTATTGAACAACCGAGTCCAGGATTATGGTTAGCTACGATTTTGATTTGATCAAAGAAATACATGAAATCAACAATCCTTCTTCCTATAATTTGATAAGGAGGAATGATATGTTTTTGTGGCTCCACTTCCTGAAATCAGTAATCAAGATTAATAATTGAATTACGCATGGCAGATAGCGTGACTACGTGATATAGTGACCAACGTTATATACCAATTCAAACTCTTCAATATTTGCCGTTTCTTCTAAATGTATATTTTGTTTTTTCTCATCTATTTTTTCCAGATCCGATATGAGTGCATCAAATAATTCCTATTAAAAAAAATAAAGAACTGGATTAACATTTTATTTTAAATAATAATAAAATAGTAGGAAAACTTGGAGATACCTCCAAGTTACATTGCGTACAACTTACTTGGTCACCTTACCCAAACATCACAAATCCATAAATAGGTATCTGATTTAATATAAATGACTACACGACATTCAGCCATCTGGTTTAATATTGCGCTCAATTACTTGGTTGGTTATTAGACAATGATTTAATTGGAAACCGGGGTTTAGTAAAAGCCTCTAATTTACTGATTAATTTACCCAGATGACTGCTAAATATATACTGATTTAAATTTAAGTATGAATAGCTAATTATACTAGCTGATAGTAAATACTTACATTGTCACGATTATTATTTTTTGAATCAACACAGGAGTCGTTATTGTCAGGAGATTCATGAGTACGTTGGTTTTTTTCCTCGTTAATCTTTCTCCTGGAAAACGTTTTATTATTATAACATTATTAAAATAAGTATTTAAACAAACATTTGTTTGTTTAAATACTTATTTTTTGACGTTACTTTTATAAATATTGGAAATTAATTGACATATTTTTATTTTATTTTTAAATGTAATACTATTGTATATGTAATGAATATTTACATCACAGATATAGATTTACATAGAAAACGCAAATGCATGTACTTCGCGTGTCCGAACCCCGACCAAGCGTCAAGGTCGATCGCCGCTAACTTCAGTCCACGCGCGTCATAAGAAAAGACTAACGGTATAATGTAAGCTGGTAGCAAAGCTAGTAACTAGTGGCATCGGCGGCATCGGTGTCTTTGAATCGGTTTGGATTTCCCGTCACTAAATTTCGGCTGTGACGTCACAATAGGTATTAAAAAGTCGGCACGCTTGGTTTCAATACAAATCGTGATACTTGCGTTATCTATGTACATCTATATCTGTGATTTACATGCTATTATTTTAGCTAAACATGCGAACTCTGTTGATATTGTAACACCAATTTTATACTATGTTTAAAACTAATAAATTATTCTTATTCATCAACCAAGATATTAATATATTATATTGTCTTTGGTTGTCAGTACGCCGTAATTGTTTACTAAACAGTAACGATGAACAGATTTTACTTACATACCAAATTACCTGTAAATGACAGAAAAATATCGCGAAATTAATTTACCTTTTTGATTGCCTGGCGTTCGCTGCAGACTTCGAATTTCTACTGCAACTATATTTTTTGCGTTTGTTACCCATGCCTGTAATAATATTATTTTTTAGCAAAATTGCGATATGACAACTCGAAAGAAACATTAACTAGAAATTTTACTTACTAAAGTATCAAATCCAATGACGCACTATACTCCTTTTGAACCTCGGTCGTACGTAAGGTCAATCAACTTTTAGACGCGCGGGAAATGAGCGATACGTCCACCCTCTGGGATGACCCGGCGCGTACTAAATCACATTCGCCCGTGCGCGTAATTATATAGGCCATTTTCAATAATAGTTTGTAATAACTATCGTCGTATAATAATTATGTAAATTTACTTTTATTATTTATTCATCCTCAGTTAATCGATACAAAATAGTTTTAACGAATAAAATCGGGCTTTTCTCATAAAAAGCTGTTTCCAAAATCGTATAATAAGTCATTTATAAAAATGGGTGCGTAATTATTAAAATATATAATTTTTAATATTTTCCGCTGTGGTTCACCAATAGACTATATATTCTGTCCTACGAAAATATTGTACCGTGGTGTTTTCGCAGCTAGTTGTAGATAGCTGTGATATTAGGTTTTCGTTGAACTTACTTATTTCCTCTTCGCTCTTTAATTTGCTATTTTGGCTGTTTGTAAACTTGGCTCTTGATATTTTTTGTTTGTTTAGTGTTATTGTTGATCTGACTATTCTATGATCGGAATTGTAGTTCAGATTGAGCGTCTCGATGTTTTGGAATATTCTATGTTGGTTAGACAAGATAAAATCGATTTCGTTTCTGTATTGTCCGTTAGGAGATCGCCAGGTCCATCTTTTGCTCTGTCTTTTTTTAAAACATGTGTTTATTATCATTAATTTGTGTTGGAGCGCAAACTTTACTAGTCTTTGTCCTCTTTCGTTTCTCTCGCCGTATCCATGTTTTTTAGTAACTAAATATTCGTCAGCTTTGGGGGTTCCAAGCTTGGCGTTGAAGTCACCCATTAATATTATGGTTTTTTGCGCTGTGCCCAAGGCTTTCTCAACTGTAGTGTAAAATTCTTCTATATCAAGGTCGCTTGCCGCTTCTGTTGGTGCATAAACTTGTATAATTGATATTTTATGTCCCTGTATATTTATGTTTAGTGTTGCCACTCGCTCTGTTATGCCATAGAAGCTTATTATGTGTTTTTTGAGAGACTTATTTATAATGAAGCCAACTCCATGTTTGCCAGGGGTTTGCCCTATGTAGCACAGTATAAAATTTTCGTACTCTTCTATTTTATTTCCATGTCTTCTCATTTCAGATATTCCGATGATATCGTATTTAATATCTCTTATAGCCTCTTCAAACTCGAGCAAACGGTCATACGATGAGAGGGTTCGGACGTTGTATGTTGCGATCATTAATTTGTTTTTATGCAAGGTGTTTCCCTGCTCCGTTGGTGTGATCATTGGAGGGTTTTGGTCATACTGTGTGTTGCTGTTAAGTGTTGCTATATTTGTTGCCATATGTATCCTGTTGGATGGAGGGTAGTAGTCGCTGAGCCCCACGGTGACCAGCCGGCTTGGGGTGGTTGGTGCATGTTTTCTTTCGTTGTCCTTTGTTGGTGTTGATCTACAGTTAGCATTGTTTTTGTTCCGGTTGTCGGGGGCAGTTAGTTGTTTTTTGATACCTCTGAAAGTGAGCTAGACCTTCCCCTTGCTATATAATTTAATAAATTAGGTTTTATTACATCCTTTGTATTCGTTGCAGTTGGCATCGTTGCTTTGTTAGGGTTTGACCTCTTTTGTGTAGGTGATATCGGCGAGCCACTCTGTTCCCGCTTCCTTTTTTTCACGGCCTTGATCATTTGGTTTCTTAACGATTAGCTTATCATATTTGATATATGCAAAGTTACCCTTGTTTCTTTCTTCCTCTACTTTTGGTTGCAGTTGCTTTCGGGTTTCTAATATGTGTTTCGGGTAGTCTTCTTTTACATAGGTCCCAGATGGAAGGCTGGATTTATTTTTAAGTATCAAATGTTTTTTCCAATTTGTCGACAAGGAAACGACAACTGGCCGATTCTTGTTAGTTTGTGCTCCAATTCTGTAAACATTGCTTATTTCTTGGCTGTCTAGATGTAAACCTGTATCTGTTATAATTTCTTTGATATAGTCTACCAGTTCAGATTCCCTTTTCTTCAACTCCATAAAATACCAAATTCTTTTTTCTTTTATCTATTTCCATTTGATCTAGTTTTTGTTCAAGTTTTGCAATCTGAGTTTTTAATTTTTTGTTTTCTTGAATAATTGAATCCATCTTATCATTTATCGCTTCCATAACGTTTGTGGTTACAGCTGATGTTATAGTTAGAGTTTGTTGGTTCAATTTTTCCTCTAATTTTTCCCAAAGCATTTCGATATTTTTATCCATTTTAGGGAAAAGTGGAATTAATAAATTGTAACACCTTTTAATAATTTTTTAAATCTTGCAACACTGCCCGGCACTGCTGCGTAGGTTGGTACTAGATGAGATGTCAGTTGTCAGACGCGAATTACGATTGAATTGTGTAATGGCGGACTATGAACTTTCACTTTTTACTGGGATATCAGAAGTTGTTTCGGGATTGTTTTACGATATAGTTTTTAATCGCACTGTTTTTATAACTGTATTTCTTATCTTTGCACTTTTCTTATAACTTTATTGGTGAATTGTAGTTGTATGTTCAGTATTTTGTCACTTTTCACTATTTAATTACGGAGCTCAATTTTGTACGTGTTTACGTTTACGACCAGTGTTGCCAACTCCTAGCCATAGCCTAAATATCGCAACAAAAATGCGTTAATTTCTCAAGACAAAAACTCCCGTACTTTAAGCATACTTTTTTAACCTGGCAACTTTTAATAGGCCGCCGTCAAGAAGCTAGCCGCCGCGTCGTCGACTATGACATTGACGTTAAGCAGCGTGCGTGAGCGTTTTGCATCGTCTATGTTTGCATCCAATCCAATACACTACACGCACACACACAATTTTACATGTGTATGCACACAAATCCAGGAGTTTTCCTGATAACCGGATAATAACGAATGAATGGGTTTTTTGTATTCAAGTTTTTATCGGCGAGTAACTAAAAAAGGCTTTTATTATTTATCGCTTACCTTTATTACTTTTTGATAACCATCCCTCAAACAGATCATCTTTTTCCCAATCCGGCTTATAGCTGACACTGTACTTCTTTTTCTTTGGAGGTGTATTTTGCACCTCTTTATCACTCTCAGAACTAGACATTCTAAATTCTGATAATTTTTTACAGCTTTAAAACTTGTTTATAACACTTTAAAACGATATTTAGTCCGAGATAACAAAAACAAAGCGATTGCAAAATGCAAGCAAACAAAACTTTGCTCACTTCACTTCACAGACGCAATCTAATCTAATGCTGTTGATTTAAAATACCTTACTAATACTATTACTATTACTAAACTGAACTATGTCTCCTAATTTGGTCGTATAATAATTAGAGAAACCGGTTTGTCTATGTTCTCTGAATTCCAAAGGTTTGCTGTTTTATATTCAACTTTATTCCATTCCATCAAGGCATACTTTACGCTACATACTTTACAAACTCATTACTTTTGTGATTCGTTCGGTGGTTCGGTGATTCGTTTCACGCAGTAGAGGCAGTGTTTTTAGTAACTTGAGTTGAATCTGTGGAACAGTAAATTAAAATCGGGAGGTTTAATTAAGGATCCGGGATATCGGGAGACATTTAGTAAAATCGGGAGAACTCCCGGAAAATCGGGAGACCTGGCAACACTGCTGGTGACTGTATGCTTGACTGCCGCGAGCGAGTGATGCGAGTAATCGCCCGCCTCACTCGCACACTCGCTTATAGCCGAGCTACACAAATATCGGAACTACGCACTCGCTCCCCGCGTCTCGCTAACTCGTTTCTAGTTCTAGCTCTACTCGTTACTCGTTAATCGTTGCCGGTGAGACAAGTGCCTTAGACTATTGTTTTTAGCACTTATTACACTTTCACAATCCGGTTCTAGAAGGACCAAACAAGTTTGAAACTACACTTTTAACTGAAAAAATGTATGAGCAGAAAAAACAAGAGAATAATTTTGCTTAAACACTAAACGTCAAATCTGATTTTATTGTTCCTTTTCTTATTCAACCGCATTTGACTGTTATTAATCAAAATAGTAGGTGTACGGTTCCTGGATCATCAGGGGTTCGAAATAATAGAATAATTTTAATTTACTCTATATTTATCACTCGCGTTATACAATAGAATATGAGCGAAATAATAACTATTATGTTAATTGCTATATAATAAGTGCAATCTAACAGACAGAGAGAGTGCCGACGTCTGGCTATGCTCCCGGGGTGAAACTCCCATGATACAGTTAATTGTAATGATACGAATGACTGCTGTAACAGTCGAAGAGAGTGCCTGCGTCGGGCTATACTCTCGGGGCGTGACTCCGACGATTTAGGAAATCGTCATGCTTATAAGTGATCAAACTGTACAGCCAGGGCACGTACATACATAGGAAATTGTTATGCTTGTAGATGATTGGAATGTAAGAGCCTTGGCACGTACATAGGGAATCATCACGATTATAAAACTAAGGAAGCCTGAGTGGGCAAAATGTACAGCCTTGGCTTGTACGGTAGGAATGTAAACCAGATTTGATGATTGTTACATTAAACAAATGGCAACAATTTTGCATTTGCACTCGATAGTATTTGGAGGTTATGTTTGGAATGTATTTTCAGCAAATTTTTAGCTTCCTGGAAGATATTTCGTGCGTGATTTATTTAGTTGGTGCACTTTCCACAGCAAAATGTTTATTTGTAAATATTTTAGACACTGTATTAACTTGTTTAACCAATGCTTTATGAGTTTTTTATTAGGAGTGATTTTCGGATCGTCAGTTGTTGACTACGCCGGAACCCGTATATACTTCCTTCTATAAATGGTTCAACTCCTAATTCGGGGCAACCCGGAACGAGAAGTCTTCTCCAAAAATATTTAAAAACGTTTTTCTAGTTCGATTATTTTTTTGTTTCTGGTATTCCTTCACCTGTTCTGTCCCTTGATAATTTATTTAGATGGGCTAAAATTTTAATTTAGACTTACAATAGTCTTCTCCAAAAATATTTGAAAACTTTTTTCTAGTTCGGTTATTATTTAGTTTGGTATTCCTCCACCTGTTCTGTCCCTTGATAATTTATTTAGATGGGCTAAAATTTTAATTTAGACTTACAATAGTCTTCTCCAAAAATATTTAAAAACTTTTTTCTAGTTCGGTAATTTTTTAGTTTCTGGTATTCCTCCACCTGTTCTGTCCCATGATAATTTATTTAGATGGGCAAAAATTTTAATTTAGACTTACAATAGTCTTCTCCAAAAATATTTAAAAACTTTTTTCTAGTTCGGTTATTATTTAGTTTGGTATTCCTCCACCTGTTCTGTCCCTTGATAATTTATTTAGATGGGCTAAAATTTTAATTTAGACTTACAATAGTCTTCTCCAAAAATATTTAAAAACTTTTTTCTAGTTCGGTTATTTTTTAGTTTCTGGTATTCCTCCACCAGTCCGTTGATAATTTATTTATGTGGGCCAACTTTTTTAATTTAGACTTACAATCGTTCCAATACTAAAACCATTCAATATTTTTGTAATCATTGTAGTGTTATTGTACAAAAGTAGCTTATTAGCTTATCAATAAGATATATAACCATTTATCCTGAAAATCGCTGATCAATTAAATCTTTAACTGCGCCATCCCCGTGTGCATTTAATCCCATCGCAACCCCTTCCCACATTCTCTGAGAAAATTCTCTCGCTCTAGCTGTTAAATTGTATTCAGTTATCAGATCATTCATCCAATTTTGGAATTAAGGGAACAACATGGACAAGTCCATGGACCTGGATGTGTCGGTGGGGCTGGGGTGCCACACCGGGTGAGACCCCCGGAAGCCCAGCAAGGGACCGGCAGACGAAGTCATCTGCGCGCGCCGAGTTGCCGGCGGGAGGTATCCAGCCCCTTTGTTTGAAAAGTAGATTTACGAGGCCTCGGTTTGCTTCGAGCGCACTAGCTCGCGCGGGAAGGCTCGACGATGATCGGGAGGCCTGGTGTGGTGCGGGGCGAGATGCTGGAAGCCAGAGGCGTCCGCACGCTCATACATGCACCTTGCCAGCACGCCAATGAAGTCATCCAGGCGCTCCTGTTGTAGGTCTCGGTGTATAGTGGCGTTTCTTACGTAGCGCGGCGCGTTGACGATACGTCTTAGGGTGGTGCTCTGCACGGTCCGCAACCGACGCCGATGCGTCTCGGCCGCAAGAGCATACCACGCGGGCGCCGCGTACGTTAGGTGAGGACGGATATAGTTTGTAAAGCGCTAAAGTTTGGGGCGCAGTCTGGCGGCCACCGCCTTTGCGCGGCCCGTAGCTGCAACGATGTGATGGCGCATTGTGAGGCCTGGGTCGGTTTGTAGTGGTCTGATTAGAATATAAATTGACGTCAGAGAATAACACTTTGTTTTTTTTATAACTTTCAGTATGTCCGTCTTAACATCTTATTTGTAGTCGCCAGTTTTTTTTTATTAAAGTCACCGTATAGAGCCAAAAGAAATAGTTTGTCATCATCGGTTTTATTATCAAATATACTTTTGTTGTCGCTGTGGTGTTTTCTCTTCAGTAACTGCATCTTTCGATTCACTTTCCAAACTATACCACAGTACAACTTTTCAATTGCAATAAGAATGACAACTGATGATCGTAAACATACTGTCGTAGTTTACTATCTCCCGAGCCACTTTGAATTTTTTTGTTTTTTTGACAACATCTAAAGCCATCTCTCAACACTTTCCACTTCTTTTGAAGAGCTTTTGCTGGAAATATATTGTTTGTCCTTTTGACTGTCATTGTCAAGTTGTGTCATTATAGTCACACTGTCATCTTCGTTTGTAGGTTCATTCGATGTCGTGGTGTCATATTCGGTGTGTTTTTTCATTAGTTTGTTTAGCAGAGACGCTTTCGTGCGCTTCACCAGCAGCAACTACTTTTTTCAAAAACAGCATCTGATTAAAATCCTCCATTAGAATAATGGGGCGTTCCCACTAAGCGTTAATCACGACAGTCAACTACGCTAGTCAACTTTCGTTCGTGACACTCACGAAAGTGTGAATTGATGAAACGTTCACATGGTTGGGGGATTTCGTGCCGTTCACGCTTCGTGTTTCGACTTAGTCATTATCGAAACATCGATCATGAATGATCTGGTTGTTGAAAGTTGTGCTGTTTTAAGTTCGTTTTTTGCTACTATCATAGCAAAAAAGATTGAGCGCTTACAGGACACAAGAACTTAGTGAACTTTTATTTGTTTAATTATAATAATAATTATAATTATAAAATTTGTTTAATTATAAATCTGTAAATAATGTAATGTAGTCGTCATCATTACTAGCCGAAAAAGTACTTAAATTTGATTGTCTTCCACTTGATCTTCCAGCCGTTGAATTATCAGTAACATATTCTGGTGGGCACATAGCATTTGTAATTTCATTCATGAAGTTTTGTTGTAATCGTATTGCTGTTGGTGGTCCTATACTTCTTAACATTGATGCGATATATTTCCCAAAATGATCATAACTATCATCTTTATTTGTAGCGACTTGTGATGCGCGATTTGAAATTGCATTCAGTTTGTCAATAACACTTGTCATAAATCCTATTTCATGATCACCAATAGATTTTTTTAGAGAATACCTGATTCCTAGCCAGTTTTCTGGGATGCCGTTTGAGTGATTGTACGCGCTGCATGAAGTTGTTATGGGTATCGACGACTTCTTTATCTGTTATCCTTGCATAAGCTTTTTTTTTTTGTTTATTTGTATCTCAAATTTTACATTAAATACATGAGTTGAGACAGCCCCCGTAAGTAGTCAGAGACACTTGTGTTGGGGTTGGCTCGCTACTTCCCTAAGCTGTTTATAGAGTTTGAATCATTATGGCTTCGCCTAAGTTGTTCTTACTAAAAATAAAAAAAATACATGACCGTTGAACTCAAAAATAAAAATGATCGGAATCAAATTTGGGATTTGACCAATTTCGAAACCAAGCTATGGATTTGACTATGTTTGATGCTTAATATCATGGATATAACTGACTTTGATCCTAAAACAATATCATATCAGGGGTTCTCAATATTTGGTTGGGTAGTAACAATTAATATAAACAACTTGGTACATAATCAGTCTTGCTTTATATGAAAAACCTTAATTTTTATCCATCACTTTTATGTTTTTAAATGTATTAAACTACTATAGCTGGTAATTCTTCAAAGAAATCACAGTTTTCAACCACCTGTTCATGAGCAGTAGATGATTTTGGTCTTGTTATTACTTGTTTGCTATGACGTAAATCTCCCACTTCTCTCCAAAATGTTTGATTAATATTTTTTCTTGTTAAACGTCCATGTATAATTTAATTGCATCTGAGTTTCTAGCAGAAACTTTCTTTTTTCCTTTACATATATTTTGAGACGTATTTATAGTATTTCGGTAAGATTCTTCCGCTAGAATATAAACATTTTTTTTGTCACGATTCCTTTTAAGAAAAACCTTTTAGATTTTTTTATAGAAAAGTGCATGTTGGTTTTAGTTTTTAAGACATCAACTAATGATCATTTCCAGTCGTAGATATTTATTACAAGTACCAAGTAATACAAAGTTCCATGACGGGTGAAAATTTCGTAATAATCGTCAGGGCTAGTCATTACCTCACGACTATTAATCTCTTTTTCAATTTTTGCGAAAACTCTATCAGGTGGCAAAAATGAATAGCCAACTACTAGAAACATTATTTCTAGGCCCATTGTCTTGTAAACATTTAGCTGCCATACTAAGAGCATTGGTTTTTATTTTGGCCGCTGCACCCATCTGCTACCAAACGAATCAGTCACCACGATCACCGGGATATTCATACTTTTATCCCACACGACATAAAAATAAATTTCAAACGATATCTCAGAAAATTCTTCTGTCAGAGTAGTACGAAATAATACATCGATGTCTTGACTTCCTAAAGCGGGCTACACACCTTCAGTTTTAACTGTGCGATTTAACTGTACAGTTAAAACGTAGGTCCATACAGCCTACACACGATCAAGTAAAAATATACGATCTTTCAGTTTGTATCATCATGGCCTCCATAGAAGACGCTTTAGCGATCGTAGGGCTAACGTGTGTGTTAAAACAAAATAGAAGAAAACGAAAAAAACGTGAATTGTGGTGTAAACACTGGCTTCTGTTGAGAAAATCGTATTCACACACATCCTTAATAAATGAATTGAGAATTACTCCAAAAGATTTCAATAATTATTTGAGAATGAATGAAGATACATGTTTTCATCTGCTGTCATTAGTGACACCATTAATAAAAAGGCAAGACACCATATTGAGAAATGCTATAACACCTCATGAAAGATTAACGGCAACTTTAAGATTTCTAGCTACAGGGAGATCTTATGAATGTTTAAAATTTTCTACAATAATATCGCCACAAGCACTTTCCGCCATCATACCAGAAACCTGTGAAGCAATTTATAGGGTTTTACACAAGGACTACTTAAAGGTAAGAAATAAAAAGACTCATGTTTTATTTATTATTCAAATCATCTTGTGAAATCTTGTCATCAAACTACAAATTTCAATTATTGTTAAATGTAAATCGCGATACATATGACCCCGCTGTTTCCTCTGTTCAGTCCGGGATTGATAGTTGGACCGTAGTATCACCCATAGCATTTATTGCTTGTGTCTCTTGAATTTCTTGACCATATGACGATGTGTTTGTTTGTGGTACTATATTTGTCATCTGAGGTGCTAGTGTGCCTGCTTGATAGTACTGAGGTTGATGTATGGGTGACTGATTTGAAGTACCTGTATATTGTAATGGTGATGGCATTGATTTATGAGATGGTGATGGTATAAAAGTTGAACTGCTTGAGCGTAATCGAAAATCATTTAGTATCATTGTTTTTGGAGCCATTACTCTATGTGACATTGTAAGATTTCCCATCTCAGCTTCGAATAAAGTTTCATTTATTATTGTTTCAGCCAACAACTGTTGCTGTTTATTTATAAATTCTCGAAGTTTCAATGCTACCCTTTTTCCGATAATGTCGTAGCGATCCTCTTGATATGTCGGCCGTTTAAAGTGGTCCTGAACGGATTGCAAAACGTCTTTTGTTAGATCTTCATTATTTTTCCGCTTTGTTTGCCGTTTAGATGCCGAACCATGAGCAGACGAAGTTGAAGCAGTAATTGAGGTGAAAGCCGCAGGACTCTGAGCAGAAAGATTTTAGTAACATCTAACTCTGAATGCGCTGCTTCATTTTCAGACACTGATGTTGCACCCGATGATTCCATCACGTTAATCTGTAGCTATTGAATTACTACAAAAGTTAACATTTAGCCTACCGCCCGACTCAGAACGCTGTCGAACAAAGCAGTCCTCAGTTTTATGTCTTACCTTCTTGCAAAATGTGCAAATAATTTTGCCATTAAAAAACTGCCTTTTATTTAAACTTGTATTGTTTATACACAAAATTTGTCTATTACCAATTTCCACGATGCCGGGCCCGTAACTGAGCTCTTCGTCGTCTTCGGTCGGTGGGCGCGATTGTTAAAGGTCGCCAAGGGAAGCAGTCCTGCGTAGCACGGAGGGTCCCTGGCGAGGCGCTTCAGGCAGAGCTAGGCTGAGGTATCTTGACCGTAGGCGCTCCACGATGCCGGGCCTGTAACTGAGCTCTTCGTCGTCTTCCCAAGAACCCTTGTGACTTGGGTGGCTTCACTCTCCCCTTTCAAATTTGAAGTCCTAGGTTTCCAAACCTTGGATCTAGGAATTTAAATAAAAATTATAATAACAATTATTACAGTTATAATACTGATCCTGAACTGTATTGAATAATTTCGTGTTGTCTATGTTCACTAAATGAATCTATAGCTTTAGTTGTTTCAACTTAGACTTAATTTTTGTAGCGTCGTACATAATGTCTATTTCAGATGTAGTTTCTATAATTGGAGTACATATTCATATTAGCAATTATTATAATAATATGGTTTCTTGATGATTATTGCAATTTGCGCTTACTTATGTGGTTTTATTAAAAAACATGTAGTATGGCTTTAACTTTCTTTTTTGTTTAATATTTCCGACTCACAAGTATTGATTTTAATTAAGCTTCCTTTACACATTAGAAAATCCAAATTACGACAGTCCTCTACTTCGTAGATTTCTTCATTGTTGTATGCTAGAGTAACCTTTTGCATTATAGGATAGGTACAGGAGGGATTATTTTGGAAAATGGCAACAATTTTTCTTGATTTATAAACATGAATCTTAACTAACGGTATATTAATAATAAAGTATATTATCTGATTAATAATTCGGCTATTTACTGTATTAAAAGATTCTATATCGTTTATATTGTTAGATAACATTACTACTTTTGGTATACTATTTATAGTATCCTGTAAAATATGAGATTGTAAAATGCTATAATGAAAAATATTATGTTCTGCAAAAATAATCGCAGCACTAAGCCTTTCAGATACATCTTGTAAGGTTTGGGCCTATTATAATAAAGAAATCGCTACTTTTTGTTGTATTGTTGAATTAAATACTCCTTGAAATTGTGGATTAATTTGCTGTTGAATTAAGGTAATATTAGCAATTTGTTCATTATACTCTTCCAGTGTATCATCTATAACAGATATTTGTTTGTTATATGCTACTCGAAGAGTTTCTAAATCTTTCTGAATTTTGTCTAAATCGTCTTGATCTAAATTAACAGTAAAAGATTTAATTACAGATCCTAATCTTTTAATTAATCCACGCTTTACACGACTATTACTTTGTATATGCAAATGTTTTCAAATTTCCTTGACATGTTCTAAAAGATTATCAATTCTCTGATATATGTGTTTGGCTTCATCAGATTTAAATCTAGTGAGAGCATTTTTCATTGAATTTTCAATACTATCTAGGTTATACTTTATAGGTTTAATATCTAATTTATGAATAATTGCCCACCGTTCTTGTAGTAATCGAGTTGGATTGGATCCTATTAAAATTACATTTTCCGAAGGAATTAGTTTTCTGAACTTGAATGCTGTGACGAAGAAGATGAGTCTGGAACAATATTTAGTTCTTCAAACATGATATGATCGACCATTACTCAATTTATATTTATTGTGTGGCTCTATACTAACTATAGTGAGCGGACCTAAAAATTTAGGTTTAGTTTTGTGCCGATCTGCCATGCTATTTTTTAAATAAGCGACATCGCCTATTTTATAAATCTTAGGGGTTTTAATTTTTTTATTAATTCTTTCATTTCTAACTTCTTTTCATTGAAAATTTTCTTCATTTTCAGCAATAACCTGTGAGGATTCGTCAATAAATGTTTCGTCACTATATTCCTCGTAAACATGAGGGTATTCGAAATAATCACCTTCCCCCATGTTTTCCTCATGGAAGAAAACTTCTTCCGCTACCATACCTTTCCCAAAATTAATTTGTCCTGGTCTAATGTGAGGTGCTTTTCGCATCGACACATCAGTTGTTTCGTTTGGCAACCGATTTTGTTGGAACTTTTGAGGACAATAATGTGGATGTTGACCCCTGAAGTAGTCACGTTTAGGTTTAGTAAATACGTTATTTGGATTCGGTGTCCAAGAATAATTTGGTCTGTTTGATTGCATTCTTTGGTTAATCGACCTTTATGTCGGTAGATAAACATCTCTCGGGTTTTGTTGCAGTACGTTTTATGATCGCGGATACTGATAAGCTAGGTCCTACTGTATTATGTATCGGATAGTTTGGTTTTATGTAATAACCTTTGGTGGAGGTAAAATTTGCGAAATTTTTTGTTTAATGTTATCAAATCTACCTTCTGCCTCTAAATGTAATACTCGACTTACAGATTCCGAAAAACTACAATTTAAAACAAAGTTTTGATCGTGATATGGAAGATTATTGCGCAAAGTATTTAGAGCTATATTGACATATATATCATATCTTCTACCCTACTCCTATCTTTATATCTATCCATTAACTTACTTTTCATAACAAATAGTTTCTGTTTTAGTTCAAAAATTAATCCCCTAGATGAATTTTTTATTTTTAAATTTATTATTTCTATTGTTTAAATAATTAAAGTTTCATGTTCAACAAATAGATGTCACCTGTGGAATCTTGAATCGCGGTATTGTTTTGATTTAAGAATAGTATAAGTTTTTCAAGGTATTTTTATTAAATATCTCAGCCTTAGAAATGGTGTTTTTCTTGTTCATGGTCCTTCGAGCCGGGTTTAAAATAAGAGATAATGTTATTGAGATAATCCCAATAATTATATGAACCATCCACTCCACCGGGAGGAGGACACTGAAGAGTCACCAGCAGGAAATGCTGGAGAATTATAGTAAATATTATCTTCTATAATTCCTGCTAATGAGCCTTGAGAGTATAATGCTTTACTATAATATTCTTCAGCCTGTTCAATTAAAGAAATGGGAGTATTTGCTGTTTTAGGATTGATTACTTTTCCAGTTAGAGGATCAATTCCTGTCCCATTTATCATTGGCAACCATGATGCAACCATTGAATAATGAGTCCAAATGGGATCCGCATAAAGGATTTTAGAAATTGGTTCTACCCAAAGAGTTATATTATTATGTTCATCAATTACTTTAAACATCCCATGTTTTCTATTCAACGGAATTCTTAAAGATAACAGTAATTTAGTTTCTATAGTGAATGTGATCTTATATAGACCATCTTTAAACTCACCAAGAGAATAGGGGGAGAAAGTTGCATATTGGGCCACTTTTCTGGGAAGATCAGGAGGATATAAAGTGGTCCATTTTAAATGAAGGAAGTCACAAATATGGTTTTGAATTAAAATTAGATTTTTGTTGATTTGACGAAGGATGAAATCAATTTCAAATCTAAATTGAGCATAAATTAAATCAGATCGCAAATTGGATGAGAATTCAAGTGGGTCAACTGATCTCTTTGAACGGTAATGGTCACTATTGAAATAAATAAATCTTTCTTTTATAATATCTGGAAAAACCTCTCTTCGCTGCCTTGTTTGTGATGGATGACTTTAAATATTTTACAATTTCTGGTGACTCAGGGATTCCCTCACCTGAAAAGGATATGATATAACCTCCAGCAGTGTGCCATAATGAAGAGCTCTGAGTTCCAATTTTACAGTTGAGAGAATCACTACCATCCGGGATTGAATATTGTTGTTTTACAGAAGGGAGAGAGATGATAATGGTATCTGAGGATGTCAGGGACAATACACCATATCGGACATCATGAACTTTGAAGGGGCAGAAATCACTGTTTCTAGAATTGTAGGTGATGTAAAGATATCTTTTCCCATCTGAGTATAAATTTCTGGTTATATGTTCCCACCCACCTGTGGGACTTCTGATACTTCCATCGGGATATCTGGAAATGATGACTCTCCTGAAAAGATTTCTCTTATACGTTCGAGGGTAATCATTTCTGAAATAATAACAATTATATTTATCATCCCATGGAATTTCAGGATATTCAACTATTTCATCTATTGGGTTCATTAAAAATCGGGAGAAATTGATAGAATTCCTCCATTAATAAAATAGTTTGTGAATATGGTTCGGATGTTATCCGCTGATGAAGTAGCTCGTCCATTGTGAGTAATACGTATAGATATGCTAGATAGATTTCCTTCTATTATCTCTTCAGGTCTAAATCCATCTCTGACTCGAACATAATTATTGAGTACCGTAATTGCCTTTACAATCCGTTCGGCAGAATCCACAGCGACATCTATTGGGCGATGTAGTATTCTCCATTTATTATTGGCTATTCCACAAGTACATTCGACATATCGACGTGCTAAAGTTAGCCGACAGTTGAATATTATTTTTCGAACGTAAGTTGCTTTACACCATTGGGCGAGGCTGGCTTACGAGGGCTGTTGCCAATAGAACTTGTTCATTTTCAATGGTGGTCTCATTTGGTTTGATATCTTCTGATAAACCTTTGCTCTAAAAATTCAAAAAACTGATTTAATGTTGGCAATTCATCTGTTAAAGTACAAATTTTAGTTTCCCATAACTCTCTAGACTTAGTATCTAATTTTGAACTTAAAATATATAAAACAATAACATCCCAATTGTCAGTTACTATTCTATATTTTACTATTCCTATATTTTTCAATGCATTTAAACATTCATTTGTACAACACAAACTAAACACTAGTAATTCTTTAACAGTATTAGATGATTCAGAACCAATATTCTTTTGAGAAAAAAATCTTTTTAAAATACTATTTGTAATACATTTCTTATTATTAAAACGTTGTTCCAACATAGTTCATAATTTTGTATTCACTATATAAATCTTTCAAGTTGTACTCCGATTCATCATAATCTTCCTCACTATAGTTACATATTAATTTATTGTGTTTATCTTCAAATGTTGACCATTGTTTTTCTAATTGTTCCAATCTGGTTTCCAAATGACTTCCTGTAATCTTATCTTTTGGCGTTTTCTTAAAATTTGTATAAACCCTTTTTAGTGTTTTGTTAATATCTTTCTGTACTCTTATAAGTGATTCCATTGTGATCGTGATCCCTCCAGTCAATGCACCTACGGCGAAGCGGCGTCAGGGGTGTTAGGCTTGGATCGGTGTCCAACAGGGTGACAACCACGGGGAGGTGATCGGACAGTAGCTCGTCGACGATCACGTCCTGGGTCATCTGGCATGTCAACCCCTGATGGACCACGATGTCTATGGTGTCCTCTCGGTAGTTGGTCTGGTCGGGGTAGTGCGTCGGCACGTCCGGGCCGGACACTGAAAAATCCAGCGTCTCGGCGTCGTGCAGCAGGCGTCTACCCCGCTTGTTGGCGATCCGCGAATTCCACGACGGGTGCTTCGCGTTCCAGTCGCCAGCGGCGACGCAAGGGTGGGCGGCGGCGAGGAGCGCGCGGACATCAGCGGAAGCGTAGCGTTCGTTTGGCGGAGCGTAGACCGCGAAGAAGCCTGTGGGGCGACCTGCGAGCTACGCTCCACACCCAGGGCCGAGCATTCGGTGACGGCCACGTCGGGCAGCAACCGATGCGGTATGCGGCGCCTCACCATGACTGCTAGGCCACTGTAGGCGCGACCAGTGGTGTCGACGTGGTGCTGGCGGTAGACTTCGTACCCTGGAATGCGCAACCTGGATGCCGCAGTGAGGTGCGTCTCGCTGACCAGGGCGACGGCGATGTCCTGAGAACTGAGTAAATGTTTAAAGTAGGTGGCCTTACAAGCGAGTCCGCGCGCGTTCCAATGTTGGAGCCGAAGGCCCCCCATTATCGGCGACTGCGACCTCGGGTTGAGCCCTTGAGGGCCGATGCCGCTCTCCTGAAGCCCCGGGCTCCCGGGGCTGGGTTGTCCCCAGCTTGCACAGCCTGGAGGATATTGGCATATGGCCGCCAGCGCCTCCTCCATTTGTGGTCGGCGCGCGCGGGACCTGGAGCGCGAGCGTGGAGGTGGTGCCATTATGGGAAGTGCGGCGGCGGCGCGGTTGGTGACGTCCACGGAGACCGTATGGAGCGCGGCAGCGCAGGTCAGCGCAGCGGCGGGACCTCGCTTGCGGCCACCGCGTCTCGTGCGGCGTCGCACAGTAACGAAGCCCTCCTCGTCAACTGTAGGTGCGACGCCACACGTCAAAGGGGCGACCGCTGGCGGCGCGCCCATGGGCGGATGTTGAATGTTGCTTGGATCGTTGCGGCGTTGGCGCAAGGGGCGAGACGGCGCCGTTCGGGCAAACGTGCCCGCGCGCCGGTTCCGCTCCTCCTCCTTGCGCACAGGGCAATACGAGTGACAGGCGGGGTGAGGCCCCCCGCAGTTGGCACAGGTCGCCGGCACATCCCTCGGGCTGGTGCAGTCCGCCGCGCGATGCTCCCCCGCGCAACGAACGCACGCCATTCGCCTATGGCAGTTGACTGATGAGTGCCTGAACGACTGGCAACGGTGACGCTGCGCGGGACCCTGTTTCCCGCGTCAGGCTTCGATCGTGACCCCTGACATGTAAAACAGCTCGGTAATGTTGTATATGGCAGGGGTGATGTCCGGGGTGCGCCGCATAACGGCTAGAAAGATGCACCCGGGTCGGCCCTTCCTGGCCCGAATTGGGCGGATATAATCGGGCTCGTACCCGAGGTCTCGCAGCGCCGGGGTCGGTGGTGACGGGTATACCCCGAATCGCCACCTTGAGGTCCTGTTCCGCAGGCAAAGAATAGGAAAACCAGGAGACCCGGCGGTCCTCCTTCTCCAGGTCCGAGAGGTACTGCTGGACCACCCGGTATTCGTCACCAGATTCGGGGGTGATACGGTAGCCCTTGCCGTACGCCCTAGCGTTGGCCGATCGTCCCAACAGCTGGCTGATCCTCCCCAGATGATGCACGTAGTTGGGGAGGCACTTGTAGGAGATGTAGGTGTTCGTGTGTATTTAGAGAACACAATTAAACTGTCCTGACACTTCTACCACTGTTTATTGTTCAAACTACACTAATATAATTAACATCAAGCATAAGCAAAATAAATATAACAGAAAAGATAATTAATAAAAGCGTAAGCAGAAAGATTAGCGCAGTAAAGCAAGCGTGTGTCTGCCGTGAGCGTGCGAGACGGACTGAGGACAGCGGGCGCGCGCGTCACTGCGCCGGCGATCGTTCTAGGCTTCCTTTGTTCTGCAAGTAGCGGGACTTCGTGCGCGCTCACTCGGTGCGACACGACATGGGGACGATCCGATAATGCTCGGGGACTCGACGATGCGGCTATATAGAAATGATATGCTTGTTGTATGTATGTTATGTTATGTGTTATTGTGCATGTTTAATATTTGTGTAATTAGTATGTAAAGTATTTATATATTATATTATTGTATTTATATAGTAGTTAGTTTTATTAAATGTATCGTGGCTACGCCACACACTCAATAACTATAGGCGGATATTCAGACTTCTTAGGGGCCGCAGGGGCTCTGGGGGGCTGCGCATGGACCCTCGGAGCGATCACCATCCTTGCATATGAGGGCGCCACCGGTGCAGAGGCGGCGCCGTCGTCAGCGGGAGCGACAGGAGCAGCGGGTCCAGGTAGTGAGGCGTCGACATCAGATGGTGCGATCGCCGCCCTGCCAGCCGAAGGGGCGGCGGGCGGTGGAACGGTACCAGGCGGCTGTACTGGTGGCCCCCCCTATATCGAGGCGGCGACCTGGCGCCAGCCGAGGGTCGCCAGGGAAGCCTGGCGCACTTCGAATAGTAGAAGTGCGCATGGGCGCTTTGCCGAGGACTCACCTTCCGAGCCAGGGTCCACGGCTGAAAATGGGCGGCGCACGAGGGTGGCCGTGGTGCGCGCAGGGAGGCGACACTCATCGCGGATCAGCGCCAACTCCTGCTGTTCGGCCTACGAAGACAATTTATTCAAAAAACATGTTGAACCTTCAAGCCACACACAACGATAGTGCGATGCAGCGCAATGCAGAAAACGCACAGCGCCATCCGTTGGTGAATTCTACAACTAAACACAATATTGTTGTATAATGTTTGGACAGTACTGTGTTATCATCTATATCTATATATATATATATATATATATATATATATATAATAAAACTAAGTCGATAAAATGTGCGTGCCGATAAAACTTAAAAAGGAGTCCCGACACGATAAAAGGACTTATGTGGTGTGATAGCCCTTTATCCCCCCTCGAACAAGAAAGTTCCCGTTTTAATCTAAAGGGCATGTTTTTAAAGATATATAAGGGAATTTCCGACCCTTCAACTTGGAAATTAAGTGCAGTGACGCCATCTGTTATCGAATATTTGAACTTCGTTCAAGACAACGATTGTTTGGGTTGCATTTCCAAAAGCGTTGCGAGCAATTGTAGCATGTGTAGTAGTGACACGAAATTTAAAATTCCAATTTCAATAGTCTTAAATTTAATTTGTTGCTATAATAAAGTTATTAAATTTTGTGTATTTATACGTCATTAGCTAACTTATATTTTGGAGTTAAAGCGACATAATTTTAGTTATCCAAATTAGTTCTCAAAACATTAAAAAAAGTCAATTTCAAAGAGCAATTTTGGCCACTAAAAATAATATTGTTGACGATATCAATTTTAATATTCTAAAGAAAATACCTGGTGAAGAGAAAATATATAAATCGATCGACACGATGGTATCCATTGAAGAAAGTGTCAACTTCCCCACTGAATTTCTAAACTCTTTACAAGTACCAGGAATGCCATTACACTGCCTTCGTCTGAAAATTGGAACTCCAATCATACTACTCAGAAATCTCAACTCCCCAAAATTATGTAATGGAACTAGAATGATCGTAAAACAGCTATCGAATAATATCATTGAAGCTGAACTTATTTCTGGAAAGACCAAAGGACAGACAGTATTTATACCTAGAATACCTCTGATCTCTTCGGAATTGCCATTTCAATTTAAAAGACTGCAGTTTCCAATAAAATTAGCCTTTAGTTTTACAATTAACAAAGCGCAAGGACAAACTTTAAAATATTGTGGCATTAACCTCAAGGAATCCTGCTTCTCTCACGGTCAGCTATATGTAGCTTGCTCAAGAGTAGGAAATCCGAAAAATTTATGTATATATACTCCGGACAATAAAATGAAAAATGTTGTTTATAAACAAGTATTGTAAATAATGAGAAAACGTTTTCAATAAACTTTTTTTTTACTTTTTACGTCATAGTTTATTTTTTTATTTCGACTCTACCACGTCATCTCATATCTACTCCCGGGCGAAGCCGGGATTTTTAGCTAGTATATAATAAAACTAAGTCGATAAAATGTGCGTGCCGATAAAACTTAAAAAGGAGTCCCGACACGATAAAGGGACTTATGTGGTGTGATAGCCCTTTATCCCCCCTCGAACAAGAAAGTTCCCGTTTTAATCTAAAGGGCGTGTTTCTAAAGATATAAGGAACTTTCCAACCCTACAACTTGGAAATTAAGTATAGCGGCGCCATCTGTTATCGAATATTTGAACTTCATTCAGGACAACGATTGTTTGGGTTGCATTTCCAAAAGCGTTGCGAGCAATTGTAGCATGTGTAGTAGTGACACGAAATTTAAAATTCCAATTTCAATAAAGTCTTAAATTTAATTTGTTGCTATAAAAAAGTTATTAAATTTTGTGTATTTATACGTCATTAGCTAACTTATATTTTGGAGTTAAAGCGACATAATTTTAGTTATCCAAATTAGTTCTCAAAACATTAATAAAAGTGGTTATTTCAAAGAGCAATTTTGGCCACTAAAAATAATATTGTTGACGATATCAATTTTAATATTCTAAAGAAAATACCTGGTGAAGAGAAAATATATAAATCGATCGACACGATGGTATCCATTGAAGAAAGTGTCAACTTCCCCACTGAATTTCTAAACTCTTTACAAGTACCAGGAATGCCATTACACTGCCTTCGTCTGAAAATTGGAACTCCAATCATACTACTCAGAAATCTCAACTCCCCAAAATTATGTAATGGAACTAGAATGATCGTAAAACAGCTATCGAATAATATCATTGAAGCTGAACTTATTTCTGGAAAGACCAAAGGACAGACAGTATTTATACCTAGAATACCTCTGATCTCTTCGGAATTGCCATTTCAATTTAAAAGACTGCAGTTTCCAATAAAATTAGCCTTTAGTTTTACAATTAACAAAGCGCAAGGACAAACTTTAAAATATTGTGGCATTAACCTCAAAGAATCCTGCTTCTCTCACGGTCAGCTATATGTAGCTTGCTCAAGAGTAGGAAATCCGAAAAATTTATGTATATATACTCCGGACAATAAAATGAAAAATGTTGTTTATAAACAAGTATTGTAAATAATGAGAAAACGTTTTCAATAAACTTTTTTTTTACTTTTTACGTCATAGTTTATTTTTTTATTTCGACTCTACAACGTCATCTCATATCTACTCCATATGCACGGGCGAAGCCGGGTTTTTTAGCTAGTTTATTATAAATTGAAGGATAGTCAAAATTCAATCATTTGAAAATGTCTGCACTATTGTGTCTTTCTATATCCAGGGGCCTTGTCGTATGATACAAATGTAATATTCATCTTCTTCAAAGGCATAATGTTTTTTTCTACCAGGAATTTTTAACATTTGGACCTCTGAAATTATTAGATTTATAATTTTAGTATAGTAGAAAAATACAAATATTTTACAAAATTTACCTATCTTAACTTATTTATCGTTTTCTGATCGACTTATCTCTGCTGGAGACAAGACATGATCAAGACTGCATCGGAAAATTGGTTCTAGGATAAAAATGATATTATTAGTTAACAGAAGCAGATTTAATTTAAAAACACAAGATTAGAACTCACATTAATTAGTGTAAAATTTTGGTAGTTAAATCTATAACATTGTGAAACAAGCAACATTAACCACATAGTATATACTTAAAGTATAATGGTAGATAAAGACATACAGGGTGTCCCGTAAATTCTACGACATACTGCCACAGCTGATTTTTTTCGCGATTTCGAAGTTGGTCTCATAGTAAAAGTTGTTCGTAATTATGAGTACTTTAACCTCTGGCAGTATGTCGTACTATTTACGGAACAGCCTGTATTGTAATGTAAGTGGTAATGTAAGTGTATAAAAAATACCACGAGAATGTGTAATTTTTTACTTCTGACGTAAAACGAGGGGTGTTATAACACACCGAGAAAGAGAAAAAATTCGATATGGATTATTCTATGAACATCTGTCTTGCCAAGAAACCTTTCCTTCTTTCGTAAAATAATCAGCCAATTCATCTCTGATAGCATTTAGATGTGCAGGTGATCGTCTGGGAATATTTCTTATGGGCAGTAATGATGTCATGTCGTCATTATTTCGCCTCCATGAACCTTCATTTAAAATTCCTTCTTCCTCCTGATCAACTAATCCTGGAGTTATGAACACGTTCCTAGAATGACGTTTCAAATAATTATGTAGAAGAACGATTGCCATAACTACCAATTCAGCATTATCAGGCTGTAAAAGCATTGGTTTTCTTAAAACTCTGAACACAGACGATATAATTCCAAATACGTTCTCAACAATCCGTCCAGCTCTACTTAATCGGTAATTAAATATTCTCTTCGATGAACCCTTTGGATGTGTCCCACCATATGGTTTCATCAAGTTTTCACTTAAAGCAAAGGCACTACCGCCTACAAAAAAATATGGGATGGAAATATTTCTATCGGGGAGTGGACGCGGCGATGGCAGGTTTATTGTGTGATTCTCTATCATATCATATAATGTGGTATCTTTTAAACTCCGCCATCTGAAATTCTCCCTTGGCATCCCACGTCTACGAATAGAAAATTATAATCTGCATCAACTAGAGCAAACAAAACGATGCCAAAATTTTGTTTATAATTATAGAACTCGGTTCCGCTTTTGATAGGTGCTTCAAGTGCCCCTGAACAGTGTGGGAAGTTCCACCGGTCTTCAAACTCCTTGCTTATCTTCAACCAGGCTTCGGCTGTCATTGGTACCTAAAAAAAAAACAATTAAATATTTTTTTGCATTTTTACGAGTCACTTCATCGCTCGGACTTGTAAAACACTGCCGACCAAAATGTGTTTACCCCTCCAGTACTACCAAATGAGTGTACTCCAAAGAGCGCTAAACAAACCAGGAAGGATGACAATGTGCTATCAGATGTGATGGGAATACTGAAAACAATAGCCAATAAATTGGACAATTCGATAGGTATTCCTGTACAACGAAAAGTTTCGCTTCCTTTATAGGGGCTAAAATGACTAGTTATTCTCCACAAACTAGGACTTCGATGGAACATGCAATTTTTGAAATAATTATAAAAGCTGACAAGCGTCATCAAAATAACCATGCATATGGTTCACACAAAGATGATTATTTATCCAGGGCAAGACAGAACTGTGTGGATCTGACCGGATATTCTAATCGTCCCTCAATATCGGCCGGACCACCATCGGGCACAAACGAAGCGGGACCATGGCTATACTACGGCAAGAAATGAAGATACTACTGACTATCCAACCATCCAGCCGCCCTTGTCGGTCTCTTCACAAGAGTCTTACACGTCTTCTATGGATGACTTTAATGATTTAATGTGATAAATAAAGACACTTCTAAACATAAATAAAGATTTTCATAATACGTACCTTAATGTATTCTTTTAATTCCTCCATTATTGCGGCGCACACTTCAGGTACAATAGCACTTGTGGATTGTTTCGATACTCTAAACGTATACTGCAGACTTGTGTAAGAGTCCCCGGAACCTAAAACTCGAAGTGTTATTGCTAGCCTATCTTGGATTGAAATTGGAGCTCTTAAATTTGTATGGTTTCGACTAATTCTTGGTCCGATCATCTCGAGTAAATTTTCAAAGTCTGTTGGCGTCATCTTTGTAAAGTTTTTGTATTGTCCACTTATGTGCTGAAAATTCATATCAGTAAGCAGTTCTCTACCTTCTCTCCGTTTATACAATTCTGTCCGCCACCAACGTCGGTGTCTTCGGCGTGTTTTTATGAGTTGATGTATTAGTAATAATGACGTACTGATAATCGTCATAGCAAGAACGTGGTCTTCAGACTCCATGCTTCGTGTGATCTACCTGTTTAAAAACGTGTATCGAAGGGCCGTGTTCGCGGCAGAATGGCGGAAACAGACGAACGCGGGAGGTTCGTAGTGAATGCACGTTAAGAGCGCGCTATGCGTCCACGCTTGCAGCGAACATGCAATGAAAGGCAGAATTATACATTTCATGTTATGTTTCACCAGTCTGTACCCACCTTAATGCAACTGCGGGGGGCCGGGGCCGGGCGAGCGTGTGATGTGCTTATGTCTCGTTCATTCGCCTGAGGTCACTAACCACACCACACGCCGCACTTCACTGTTTCCGCAGCTGCACACTTTTATGAAAATATTATTTTATTTCTTCCCGCTTCCTCGAATTCGAGCGAGCCCTGATCAAAACTTCACCGTCGCTGTCCGAAGACAGTAAAGGCTTCACCCTCCTGTTTCGCATGTTAAAAAGTCCAGCAGATAATAATCAATTAATTGAAATTAACGTCTCTACCGCCGACTCTACCACTAACTCTACCGTACAGTCGAGACTCTACCGTCGACCCTACCGTCGACTCTACCTCCGACTCCACCCAAGACTCTACCACAGTACCTAATAAATATATTAATGAATAGTGAAATTGTTAGTCTATAAAATGTAAATTTGGCGCCTTCAGCCATTATAGAATACATCACTTGTTGTCTATGATATATCTGGTATCTATGATTTGCTCTGTGTATAAGCTTACTTCCTTTTTCGCCATTGTCTGGTTAACAATAAAATATAATTAACACAGTGATTAATAAAATACTCTTTTCATTTAACAGGTTATGGGCCCAGACCACCTGATTTTATTTAAAAACAAAATAGTTAAAGTGAAAAGTGCGAAATTGAGTTCAGTATAACCTCAAAACTCGCCACGAGTTTTCAATATGAAGAATATTCAGCAAAAATGTCTTTAAATAATACGATGGCACTGATTGAAAAGCTGTCTGGAAGAGAAAACTATCCTACGTGGAGATTTGCAGTGCAAACCTACCTCGAAAATGAGGAATTATGGAGTTGTGTCACCGCGAAAGACAATGAAACAATTGATCCCAAACTTAATACAAAAGCGAAGTCGAAAATTATCTTATTAGTACATCCCATCAACTATGTACATATACAAGAAGCCAAAACAGCTAAAGAAGTTTGGAATAATTTAGCCAAAGCTTTCGATGACAAAGGTTTGACACGCCGAGTTGGTCTGTTGAGAGATCTGATCAATACAACGATTGAAAATTGTCTGAACATTGAAGATTATGTTAACAAGATCATGACCACTGCTCACAAGTTGAGAAACATTGGTTTTGAAGTCTATGATGAATGGCTTGGGACTTTATTACTTGCATCATGGCACTTGAAAGCTCCGGTGTGACAATTACAGCTGATTCTGTGAAGACTAAGCTTCTGCAAGAAGTGAGAAGCTGAGTCTAGTGCATTGTATTGTGCAAGGGAAATCAGTTTTTCAAACAAGCTCAAGATAAAAATAAAACAAGTAAAGGTCCAAGGTGCTATGTGTGCAATCAATATGGGCATATAAGCAAATATTGCCGAAGTAAGAAAAAGGAACAGAAGTCTAAGGAGAACACAGATTCTGGGTATGTTGCTGTGTTATCTGCAACAATAAACAACGACAATAATTGGTATATTGATTCTGGAGCATCAATGCATATGACAATGAATCGTAACTTGATTTACGATGAAATTACACCTCCAATTTCCACAATAAGAGTAGCTAATGACAAGAAGCTAGTTGTGAAGGCCTGTGGAAAAGTAAATCTTAATGTTGTCAATACACAAGGTCAGTTGGAAACTATCAAGGTACAGAATGTTCTCTACATTCCTGAGTTGGCTACGAATCTTCTCTCTGTCAGTCAGATAATAAATAGTGGCTGTCAAGTACAATTTGACAAACAAGGTTGTAAAATTTTGAATGAAACAAACAAGCAAGTTGCGGCTGCTAAAATGATAAATAATATATACAGGCTACTTACACATAGTATTCCAGCATATATATCTGCTTCAACAGAAAATGATGACTTTTACTTATGGCATCAGCGTATGGGTCACTTGAACTACACTGACCTGAAGAAGCTGGAGACCTGTGCCGTAGGTGTGCAAATGTCCCTGAGCAGTAATGTGACCTGCATCTCCTGTATAGAAGGTAAACAAACAAGCTTGCCATGCAACAGTGAGGGTTTCCGAGCAACAAAATTGCTAGAACTTGTTCACTCCGACGTATGCGGGCCCATGGAAGTGAAGTCACTCGGAAATGCAAGGTATTTTCTTACCTTTACTGACGATTATTCTAGAAAAGTGACTGTTTTCATTTTAAAATCAAAGTCTGAATGTCTTAATAAATTTAAAGAATACAAATGTCTTGTAGAGAACCAACTTGACACTAAAATTAAAGTATTAAGAACCGATAATGGAACTGAGTATATAAATAATGATTTTACTGAATTTTTGAAGTCATCCGGCATACAACATCAAACATCAATTCCATACACGCCTCAACAAAATGGCTTATCTGAACGTATGAACAGGACACTGCTTGAAAAAGCCAGATGTATGTTAATCAATGCTAACTTACAGAAAAACTTGTGGGCTGAAGCAATAATGACAGCAGCATACATAGTGAACCGTTCACCTACACGAGCACTAAATTATAAAACACCTGAGGAGATGTAGAGTGGAAGGAAACCTGATGTAAGTCACATGAAAATATTTGGTTGTTATGCAATGGCTTAAATATATAAAGAGAAAATTAAGAAATGGGACTCTAAATCACAGAAACTTATTTTTGTTGGTTATTGTGAAAATAGTAAAGGATATAGATTATTAGATTCCAAAACAAAAATTGTCATAAAAATTAGAAATGTAATTTTCCTAGAGAATAGTATAACAAGAAATGTGGTTCCTCTCTCATTGTCAGAATCAGAAAATAAAGAAACAGATCATGTAATTGAAAGTTTTTCAAACCGTGAAGATAACACCACAGATTTGTCGTCTCATACAGCCGTGGATCACAGCGATGGTTCTGATGACCCTGAGTATGTACCGGAGATGTCAGTGAAGTATCCTCAGAGTTCTAATATTACACTTCGTCCTCGAAATAAAATTAATAAGAACACAGAAGCTAAGACTTACCTATGCTCAAGTAATGTACCACTCTCTGTCACACCACAAACATATGCAGAAGCATTGTCATCAAAAGACTCTAACTTGTGGATGAAGTCGATTGAAGAAGAGCTGAAAGCACATAGTGATAATGGTACATGGCAGTTAGTGTGGTTTTACAGTGACGCTTCTGTCCGCGCGGGTGGTAAGCGCGCGGATGACCCGCTCGAAACTTAAAACTAGTTTTAAAGCTAGTCGCGCGGTTAGCCGCCTCGTACAGTCGTGATCGGTTTGCCGGCTCATACAGTCGTGATGAGACTTCTCGTATTTATTATACTATATTACTTATGGAAAAAAAGGCAACGACGACGACGTATACAAGTACATCCTTACAATGCCACTAGATTGCTGAGAGGCGCGTTCTCTACATCGTTTGCGGATTTAAGAGAACATAGTGACAAGTTCTTTAAACATTTTCGTCTGTCTATAACAACATTTGATGAATTACTCTGCAAGATAGAACATAATTTAAAAAGATCAAGTTTACGTCGAGCACCTATAGAACCAGTTGAAAAGTTGGCGATTACCTTAAGGTAAGTGGCATGAAAAATACTATTTAATTTTTAGTAATTACTTTATTTACAAATTTAAACAATCAAAAAAACAAAACTCGTTGAAATGTAATTAATAGAAATTGTCGTTTTCTGATGCAATATTTGGAAAGTGCTGTATTTCTTCACAGCTTTGCTGAACAGAATTATTGACTGTTGAATGAGGATCATATTGATTTGCTGTTTGATAGCCTTGCTGAGTGGTGGTACTAGACATTGATTCGTTGACTGGTAGCGTTTGGTTTGAAAAAATATGATGAATTGGTTGCACACATTACAGAAGAATTAGAATCATTTTCTGGTGACATGACGGTGTAATATTGACTTGCTGATTGATAACCTCGTTGCGTAGTAGTATCATTAGAATGATTGGTTGTTGATGTTGTAGTAGAATTTGAGTTATGTTCTGGTGACAAGATGTTGGACGTCGACGTAGTGCCACTTGAAGTTGGCGCGGAGAGATCCATGGCGATTTGCAATACTTTGGCACGAAATAATAGTTTTTTATAACTGTTAAAAGATTTTAGTATTGGACCTAGAGAATTAAAAAATGACAAATCGTCAGAGCTTATGTCTGGCATATTTTTGTCTAACAAATCTACCAACTTTTTCTCAAACGCGGAGTTCTCTTGTACCCGTTCATGTTTCCTCTTCCGAGTCCATGTTGGTTTATCTTGGTCAGCCACCGGAGTAGAACTGTTTTGAGAAGAGCCAGAAATTTCGTCGTTATTTACTACGTGAGCTATTGTTTCAGATGAACTTGATTGTTCATTAATGTTGTACATAGATTCTGAAACTTCGTTTTCAGTGATACGATCAAGAAAGTTTAATTCTTTGAAATAAATGTATTTTGTAACGGTTTTTGCCCCGCTACCAGATGGTGCTTTTTTCATATTAGCTTTGGTTTTGAAATATCCATCTCTTGCAGATTTCCATCTTTGACGTAAAAGCTTATCTGAAACAAAAAAAAATTGGCAAAAATAATATTTTGTGTATCACGCCTTCTCACTTGTACTTTTTATGAATCCTTTCCTACTTGGAACTTTCTACTAGTTCTAATAATTATATATATTTTTTTCAGATTCTTAGCTACTGGGAACACTTACTCCGATCTACATGTCACATACAGAATGGGCGTTACTACTATAAGCAAAATCGTCAAGGAAGTTTGCTGTGAGATATGGGAAAAACTACGCGAAGAATGCATTCCTCAACCGACAACGCAAATGTGGCAACGTATTAGTGCAGAGTTTGAGATGTATGCAAACTTTCCTAACTGTTGTGGGGCAATAGATGGTAAACATATACGCATAGTTAATCCCGCAGGTGGAGGGTCAATGTTTTACAATTACAAACATTTTTATTCTATTGTCCTTCTGGCAATGTGCGATGCCAACTATTGCTTTACTTATGTCAACATTGGTTCTTGTGGGAAAAACTCTGATTCCACCATATTCCAAAACAGTGTACTATTTCAACAGTTAGAAAGAAATAATTTAAGGTTACCGGCTCCAAAGTACCTGCAAGGATCTAATATTGTGGCACCTCATATAATAATTGGTGATGGTGCATTTGGCATATCGAACTATGTGATGAAACCTTATCTTCGAAATGATATGAGCCACAAACAGAAGATATTCAATTACCGTCTAAGTCGTGCCAGAAGGTACATAGAATGTACATTTGGAATATTATCAAACAAGTTTAGAGTGTTTCACACTCCAATGAACGTGAGCTTCTCCAACGCAAAAACTATAGTTAAAGCTTGTTGCGTATTACACAATTTTATCAGAGTGCGAGACGGCTACAATGGAAATGACTTATTAAGCATTAGTGGTTTGATTGACATGAATCTTCAGCCAGTTTCTAGAACAGGAAACACACTACGCGAAGTGTTTGCCGATTACTTTATATCGCCTGCTGGCAGTGTTTCGTGGCAAGACAGACAAATATTCTAGAGGTACCTACCTAGTACCTATTTGAAAGAACTTATTAGTGGAATTGAATTCATTGTCGTCCTTTCAAGTATAGACTATAGTGATGATTCATAGTCATTTATGACTAATCTAATGTGTTTTTTCTGCAAGTAAACCGTTGAAGAGTGTTCAAATCATCAAAAATCCACAATCTTATTTTTAAATCCATAAAGATAGTGCTCCAACAAGTAAAATTGATCAATTTACCTTATCTTACCCTACATATCGATTGAAATCTTACCCTACATATGTTTAACGACGACTTTTATACCAACATAATATAAATTTTATATTATAAATGTAATTGATAAAAATACAAATTTTATAAACATACCTTTGTCTTTCTTTATGTAATTTTCTCCAAAGATTGCTTCTCCAACTTCTTCCCAAGCCTTATTTTTTGCGTCTTTGTTTTTGTATAATTCGTTCGATGGATCCCACAGCAACGGTCGAAAGCGAACTTCTTCAATCAATCGACCCGTATCGATATAATTCGCATTCATTTTGGCGACGACGGTACGCATGCGCGCGTCCGACCGGCGAGACTGTGCAACGCACACTGAACACAATGACTCCTCGCCCGCACGCGGTTGAAAAGCGCGGCTGAATTGCCGTCAACGCGGGCCATCCGCGTGACTATGTAATGATCCATGAGACGCAAAGCTCGTGGCCCGCGACGCTTACCAACTGCGCTGGCGAAAGCGTCACTGTAAAACCACACTTAGTAGAACAGCCACCTGAAGCTAGAGTTATAGGATGTAAATGGGTATTTCGTATAAAGGATGAAACTGAAGGACTAAGGTACAAAGCAAGGCTATGCGCTAAAGGATTCACACAGAAAAGCGGTATTGACTATACCGAGACATTTGCACCAACTGTCAGGTATGATTCAATTCGCTTACTTTTATCTGTTGCTGCAGAACAGAAAATGTCAATGATACAATTTGATATTAAAAATGCATTTTTATATGGTGAGTTGAAAGAACAGATTTACATGACGCCGCCAGAGGGCCTTACTGTTCAAAAAGATATTGTATGCAAGCTCAAGAAATCATTGTATGGCTTAAAACAATCACCTAGGTGTTGGAATGCTAAATTTGATAATGTTTTAAAGAAATATGGTTTTAAGAACAGTCATGCTGACAGATGTGTTTATGTGGGCTGCATCAATGGTATTAAAATATATTTATTACTGTATGTTGACGATGGCTTATTACTGTCTACAGATGCCTTTGCTCTTACTCAAGTAATAAATGACTTAAAGAAAGAATTTGATATAAAGATTTGTAAATCATTACATTTTATAGGAATGCATATAGAAAAATATGATGATTATATATTTGTGCATCAAAGTACATACATTGAAGAGATGCTGAAAAGATTTAACATGTGTGATACCAATACTAATAGCATTCCTGCTGATCCGCATGTTACTTTGGTAAAAAGCACTGAGTCTGATAGCAACAACAAACGCATTCCTTACAGAGAAGCTGTGGGTTCTCTCATATTCGCTGCGATAGTGAGCAGACCTGACATCATGTATGCAGTGTCGACAGTTGCTCGCTTCCTCAAAGATTATGATCAGATGCATTGGAATGCGGTAAAGCGTATTTTTAAGTATTTAAAAGAAACAAAACATTTTGGACACTGTTTCAGATCAACTCAAAGTAACATACTTGAATGACGCCGACTATGCCAATGATCCTGACACTAGAAGGTCTATCACTGGTTACATCTTCATGAAAAATGGAGCAGCAGTGACGTGGAGCACTCAACGACAATCGACCGTCGCTCTGTCTAACACTGAGGCAGAGTTTATGACATCCTGCTGTGCTACAAAAGAAGCTCTCTGGGTTCGGCAGTTAATGCTTGATATTAACGAATATAAACAGAGTTGTATTAATCTTCATATAGATAATTAAAGTGCTATTTGTTTGATCAAGAATAATGATTTTCATAAACGATGTAAACATATCGATATTAAGTATAACTTTGTAAAAGAAAAATATGCACAAAAATTGATAGATTTGAAATATGTTAGTACTAATAGTCAGTTAGCTGATATATTTACAAAAGCTCTATGTAAAGTAAAATTTCAATATTTCAAAGAGAAACTTGGTGTGATTGAGAAACCAAAAATGTAAAGCTATCATATTACTGTGTTGTTCAAGTATGTTTATATAAAGTTTTTATAACTAAGCTATTTAATGTTTGGTTTTCATTTGTTAGCTTTAATAGAAGGCTCAAATTTAGTAGGACTGTTAGTCTATAAAATGTAAATTTGACGCCTTCAGCAATTATAGAATACATTACTTATTGTCTATGTTATATCTGGTATCTATGATTTGCTCCGTGTAATATGTATAAGCTTACTTCCTTTTTCGCCATTGTCTGGTTAACATTAAAATATAATTAACACAGTGATTAGTAAAATACTCGTTTCATTTAACAATTATTTTGTCGCGAAAACTCAAAAATAAAAGAAGGAAGAGATGTTGGTGGGTTACAAATTTAATGCATCGAAGGACACTGGATAATGTAGGTGAAACAATGACGGATATGCGAACACAAGAAGAAAGTGGACAATTCCAAAACTTTTGTAGAATGGCGCCGGAGGATTTTGATCATTTACTATCTCTGACCATCGAAAAAATTCGAAAATCAAGTACGAATTTTAGAGACTCGATTCCTGCATATGACAAACTAGCAGTGACTTTGCGATTTTTGGCAACTGGAGATTCCTATGGAAGCCTGATGTATTTTACTAAAATGTCTAAATCGACAACATGTAATGCTATATCTGAAGTATGTGCTGCAATAAATGAAGCATTGCAAGACTTTGCTAAGGTAAGTAAAGTTATTACTTTTATACATACCTACACACCTATTATCATGACCGTAATTATTAGTGAAAGTAAGTAAATAAACTAAGACAATTTATTTTAAAGATATTTATTTAAAAAAAAAACAATTAGAGAACTTAAATTAACAAAAAGTAACTAACTAAATTTATGAATTAATGTGGAATTTAGAAATTTTAATTGAAAATGACCGATTGTATTAATCGCTTCGTCTGACTCTTTAATGATTCGAGGCCGTTTAAGAATTGATATGTTTTTCAAAAGGCTTATCGATGATCCCGAGTCTACTAAAAGGGATAATGGAATATCAGATATTGACGAGTCGATCAAGACATGAGGTAAGAGCGTTTTTGAAGGGTCACTGAATATTTCATAGGATCTGGTAGGCTTTGACAGGTTAGTTATGCACTCTTCCGCGGATACAGAGGATTTAGAAGTTGGCAGGACAGAGGATTTACTCTGCTGCACGGATACAGAGGATTTAGTAATTGGCAGGTCAGAGGATTTACTCTGCTGCACGGATACAGAGGATTAAGTAATTGGCAGGTCAGAGGATTTACTCTGCTGCACTGATACAGAGGATTTAGTAATTGGCAGGTCAGAGGTTTTACTCTGCTGCACGGATACAGAGGATTTAGTAATTGAAATTGAGGGTGTCGATTTTTGAATTGAATGTCCCCCGCACGACACTGGGACGTCTCGTCCCAGTGTCGTGCGGGACTTGTTTTTTGAATCTGAATCGTAATCGACAGTGTCGTAACCCTCGTTTGTGTCGGAGCTTGAGTTGTCCTGTTGAATAAGATGATGGACACGCTGAGGTGTCCTACAATTTTGAGATTTGAGTTTATTATTATATTCTCTATTTCTGCAGTTTTCTAGAGTGTGCCCTGAGTTTTTACAGTATCTGCAGAAGAGACTTGAATTAGTATTTGAAGAGGTAGGAGGATCGGATTTATGAGTTGGAATTTTTGTAAGTTTTTCTTTATGAGGATTTGTTTTGAATAGGAATTGTTGAATTTTTTCTTCGGAAATAGCGATGTTGATAGCTTCGTTGAGCGACTTCCGAGATTTACATCTAACGATGTTGGAGATTCTAGGGGATAACCCCAATTGGAAGTGATGGAGGGCTAATTCCTCCATAGCCGCGGTTCTGCCATACATTTCCCTATTTTGTGCCCATGGTTAATCGATATTTCGGTTAATAATTGTGAAAGGTAAGTTTCTATTCTAAGTGCATATTGGCTGACGGGTTCATTGGTTAACTGTTTACACTCTTGCAAGTCTGTGAGTAAATGTGTATAATGTTTTCTTTCGCTAAATTGAGTTTTAAGAAATTCTTTAAGTTGGGGCCAGGTTGAAAATTATTTTATGGAACATGCTGTTTCTGCTTTTCCCTCTAATTGACATAAGATGAATTTAAATAAAATTTCCTTTTGATTTTCTGATGCCAATTTGTAAGCATTATTGCAGTTTGATAGGAATGAATTTAATTTATTTCTGGAACCATCGAATGGTTTAATGAATTTAAGAAGAATTGATAACTCTAATTCGGTTTTATTTTGTAAAGCTGTAGGTGAAGGTTTCTTTTTTGATCTGGTGATAGGCCCAGAAGGGGGAAGAAGAGCGTTTTCGTCTTCTGTGTCAGTGATGCAGACTTCGGGATTGGTACCACCCGAGCTTAGCGTTCGGCCTTCCATTTCTTACGTTATATATTACAGGTATACACAAAATATAATAAACACAGAACTTACAAAAATAAAATAGAAAAATAACAATTTAAAATAAATGTGACCAAAGACTTACAGAATATTTAATATCTTGAAGGTGGATAATGTAAACATCCCGTCGAAGTTGTTGCTGTAGCTGATTGTCGGCTCTCGATGTTGATGAGATGAGTTGATATCGATTTATGGTTGTTGTAGCTTTTAAGGGCACTTGAATTACGACGCCTCCTACGCATAAAGTCGGAACACATTTTTTGAGTAAAATTGTTTTTTTGTGCCATTAGAACACTATTGAACAGCAATACACAATCCTGAAACCCAAATTTTAATATTTTCTATAAATAATGAGTTTTTGAATTGATAATAGTCGTAACATTTGAACGCTCCCGCGCAAATCGTCGCGCTTATAGTTCCGACGATGCGCTCCGATCTATTGGACTTCAGCCGGCCAATCAGAGCGCAGTACCGACGTCGTATGACACGAACTAGCATGCACAAAGTCTCTCTAATTTAAATGTTGAAAATAATATTGATGTTGTGTTGTTTTTGTTTACTTTTGTTAGTTAGGACGTGTGCAATTATAAATTAGTGAAATGAGCAACCTACGTTCGTCTAAGATTTTGAAATTAGTTGACAGTCGGTGTCGTAAACGTAAACACGTACATAATTGAGCTCCGTAATTAAATAGTGAAAAGTGACAAAATACTGAACATTCAACTACAATTCACCAATAAACTTATACGAAAAGTGCAAAGATAAGAACTACAGTTATAAAAACAGTGCGATTAAAAACTATATCGTAAAACAATCCCGAAACAACTTCTGATATCCCACTAAAAAGTGAAAGTTCATAGTCCGCCATTACACGTAATTCGCATCTAACAACTGACATCTCATCTAGTACCAACCTACGCAGCAGTACCGGGCAGTGTTGCAAGATTAAAAAAATTAATTAATTAGCTAAAAGGTGTTACAATTTATTAATTCCACTTTTCCCTAGAATGGATAAAAATGTCGTAATGCTTTGGGAAAAATTAGAGGAAAAATTAAACCAACAAACTCTAACTATAACATCAGCAGTAACCACAAACGTTATGGAAGCGATAAATAATAAGATGGATTCAATTATTCAAGAAAACAAAAAATTAAAAACTCAGATTACAAAACTTAAACAAAAACTAGATCAAATGGAAATAGATAAAAGAAAATGGTATTTTTTGGAGTTGAAGAAAAGGGAAAAAGGGAATCTGAACTGGTAGACTATATCAAACAAATTATAACAGATACAGGTTTACATCTAGACAGCCAAGAAATAAGCAATGTTTACAGAATTGGAGCACAAACTAACAAGAATCGGCCAGTAGTCGTTTCCTTGACGACAATTTGGAAAAAACATTTGATACTTAAAAATAAATCCAGCCTTCCATCTGGGATCTATGTAAAAGAAGACTACTCGAAGCACATAATAGAAACCCGAAAGCAACTGCAACCAAAAGTAGAGGAAGAAAGAAACAAGGGTAACTTTGCATATATCAAATATGATAAGCTAATCGTTAAGAAACCAAATGATCCAGGCCGTGAAAAAAGGAAGCGGGAACAGAGTGACTCGCCGATATCACCTACACAAAAGAGGTCAAACCCTAACAAAGCAACGATGCCAACTGCCAACGAATACAAAGGATGTAATAAAACCTAATTTATTAAATTATATAGCAAGGGGAAGGTCTAGCTCACTTTCAGAGGTATCAAAAAACAACTAACTACCCCCGACAACCGGAACAAAAACAATGCTAACTGTAGATCAACACCAACAAAGGACAACGAAAGAAAACATGCACTTACCACCCCAAGCCGGCTGGTCACCGTGGGGCTCAGCGACTACTACCCTCCTAATTCACAATTCTTAACAAATACAATCAATTCCAACAGATCTCACTCACCACATCACATCTCTCCCGCAACAGAAATTTCCCATATATTTATTTGTACTTTTAACGCGAGATCACTATCATCAGACGAAAAACTCCTAGAATTTAAAGAAAGTATTGCTTCAATAAGGTATGACATTATTGGCTTATCAGAAATAAGAAGAGAAGGATATAACATTGAAGAGTATAGTGAACATATATTTTGTTACTTCGGTGAAAGAAAGGGACACTTAGGCGTAGGGTTTCTCTTAAAGAAAATACTCAAGCAATACATTGAGAGTTTTATTGGTGTATCAGAACGAATCTGCATTTTAAATTTAAAAATAATAAATTTAGATATGTCTATTATCCAAGTCCATGCACCCACTTCCGAAGCAAGCGACAATGAGATAGAGAAATTCTATGAACAAGTACGTAATGCTATGAAGCACTGCAACAAGCAGTTTATATTAGCAGGTGACTTTAATGCTAGAATAGGAAAAAGGTTGCCTGGTGAAGAAAGAGTAATGGGTGCAAATTGCTTTGGTAAACGGGATCAAAGAGGAGATCTGCTCCTGCAATTTTGCCGTGAAAACGACTTAAAGATAATAAATACCCAATTTACAAAGAAGCTAAAAAACCTATGGACCTGGCTTTCCCCCAAAAAGCGAAGAAGTCAAATTGACTATATATTAACAAATGACATGCGACATATACAAAACATTGAAGTGGTGCACAATCTATCATTTGCCAGCGATCACAGTCTTGTAAGATGCACATATATAGTAAAAGACCTAAAAAGAGTCGGGTAAAATATAAAAATAGTGCATACTCTTATCTTAAGTCCCCAGAAGAGGAAGAGTCATATTTAAAAACTTTAGAAACCAAAATAAAAGACATAAAAGATATTGATGAAGGCAACGTAAACAAATATTATGACCAAATTAAGACGTCACTTACGGGAAGCATAAGAGCCGTTACATTAAAAACTAAAAATAGATATAATCGAAAAGGTTATATTATCTCAAATCACATAAAGGATCTGATATCCAGAAGAAACGAGTTGACACGTAAAACACATTTAAGCAGCATAGAAAAGAAGGAACGAACATATCTGTATAAAAATATACATAAAATGATTAAACAAGACAATAAAAAACATAGATTACAAGTACTAGAGAAATTTCTAACAGAATCAAGGAGTATAAAAAAAGGTTTTAGAGCACTAAACAGAACCAAACAATGGATACCTCGAATAAAAACCAGTTCATCATCGACAACATACTCTAGATCCAAAATAATTGAGATAGCTACTAAATTCTACAAGGAGTTATATGGCCCTATTAATAATATAATTAATAATACAGAAAATTTCGAAATCCATCACAACAACTTATCGACTGAAAGATTTTCAACTTATGAAGTTATCAAAGCTATGGAACAATTAAAGGTAGACAAAAGCTGTGGACCAGATGGCATAACAAATGAAGCTATAAAAGTTGGAAGATTTTTGTTAGCAACCCCCATAACAAGGCTTTTAATATGGTTATGGATTCACGAAAAATACCCAGAGAATGGGCACGGTCTGACATAATTTTACTATATAAAAAAGGGGACCCGACTGATGTGGGCAACTACCGCCCGATAAGCTTGCAACCTAGTATGTACAAATTGTTCGCTTCCTGTCTAGAACGACGCTTGTCAAAATATACCGAAGAATATCAACCAGTAGAACAAGCTGGTTTTAGAAGAGGCTTCTCTACTATAGATCATATTCATGCCTTAGACATGATTATAGAAAAATATATCGACCAAAACTGCCCCCTATACCTAGGTTTCGTTGATTACGCCAAAGCTTTTGACACCATATCTCACAAAAGCATGTGGCAAGCTCTTGGTGAATGTAATGTTCCTTATGAAATAATAGAACTCATACAAAATATATACCAGCAAAGCGTAAGCCGCGTGAAGTTAGACAGAATTGGCCCAGAAATAAAAATATGCAGAGGCGTAAGACAAGGCGATCCTTTGTCACCTAGAATATTTATAACGGTTCTACAAAGCGTAATGAAAACCCTTCAATGGGAGAAAAAAGGGATAGAAATAAATGGTCAGTATCTAAGCAACTTGAGATTCGCCGACGATATAGTTATCTTCTCAAACAGTGCGACGCAGCTACAAGACATGCTTAACGAATTAGTCTGCGCAAGTAAAAGCATTGGCCTAGAAATGAATACCTCCAAAACTAAAGTTATGACTAACAGCAAAGAACGACCAATTTTTGTCAACGCCACGTCTCTTGAATATGTCCAAAACTACATATACCTAGGAAAACAAATATCGTTTAGTCAAAACAGACATGTGGAAGAAACAAACAGACGTGTAAACCTAGCATGGAACAAATATTGGGCTTTAAAAGAAGTACTGAAATCCAACCATAACTTAACTATAAAAAGAACAGTCATGGACACATGCATACTTCCATGTTTGTCATACGGATGCCAAACCTGGATTTTTAACAAGGCGTTAATAAAAAAGATTGGAGTATGCCAAAGGGCTATGGAGCGCTCCATTCTTCAATTGAAGCTTAAAGACAAAATAAAAAACAAGGTGATACGAAGTCGTACAAAAATAAAAGATGTTGTAACTTATACAAAAAGGCTAAAATGGAAATGGGCCGGTCATATTGGCCGCATTTGTGATGGCAGATGGGTCAAAAAGACCCTTACTTGGAAGGGCCCAGTGGGAAGAAGAAAGAGAGGATGCCCACCGAAAACTTGGGAAGACGATATAAAAGGGATAGCGGGAAAAAACTGGAAAATTGTCGCATCAAATAGGGATAAGTGGAAGAATCTGGAGGAGGCCTTCACTCCATCGGAGGTCGAGTACAAGTGTAAAACTTAAAAGACATAGACTTACTGTAGTTATAGTGTACTCGAATAAAGGCTATTTTTATTTATTTATTATTATAAACCCAATCCAAACAGCGAAGTAATAACGGCCGACGAAAATTTTGGAAATGGTAAGTTTTACTCTATTTTCTTACATTATTATATAATTCACTTGTTTATATGTGAGATACCATAATACGAATAAATTATATTAATAAGTGTTAGTGTTTAATAGACCTCGACAAAAAAATGTAGTCCCGGTGCATAACGTCGGAAGGTCTATGTTACGACTATATGCGTCGGATTCAATCGCTAGCAGTGGTCAGTTAAGACTTTATACTACGCAAAAAATTTATTCTAGGAGTCGTAACTTACACTTACGACCATATGCGTGGTTTTAGTATAAAGATAAATAAACGTATAAAGACGGATCACAGACATAAGACTTTATGCTTTGTTATATAATGAAGATACGATTATCTGCTATTCAATTGTAGCTAAAATATCACTAAAATTGAACTTTTAATTCTATTTATAACTGCTTATATATTTTTCTCTAGGTTTTTAACTAATTGGACTTCAATATTTTCAGAATCACCGGTGCCACTTGAAGCTGAAGACCAGTGGAATCTGTACAAGACGATGTTTGGGCACTCTTTTAATAAAAGAAGCAGTGATATTGACAACAGTTTTGTAACAAGTAATCACGAGGTAACGTCTAATACGGAAGCAAAATCCTCACTGTCGTCTGCTATGCCAAATGAAAAAACTATACGATGTATGGATTCAGAGCTATGTGCTGAAGAGTTTTCTCATATACCGTCAGGCAGAGTTGGAAGAAAGCGTCACCGTCGCCGTGATGAGTGGAAAGACGTAAAAAGAAAATGTTTAAAAAATTTAGGGAAAGCCTATTTAAGCAGAAATGGAGTTCAAAGAGATGGAAAGATTTTGAAACAACCATGTCCGACTACTTGCCGACTTAAATGCTTTACAAAATTTAATGCACAAGAACGGGAGCGTATATTTTGTTCTTTTTGGCAAATTGGAGATCACTGTCGGCAATGGGATTACATCGTCAATCATACCGAAGTAGGCGACACTAAGTATCCTTCTACTTCTAGACGTAAGAAATCCATTAAGTATTGCTTGCCTCTTATTGAACCAAACTCTGACATACCTATTAGAGTGTTTGTCTGCAAAACGATGTTCCTAAACACACTTTCTGTAGGGGAGAGAACTGTTCAAACAGCATTGGCAAAATGGAGTTCAGGTGGTGGGTCTGTTTCTCCTGATCGGCGTGGTGGTACCAGAACTGTTGTCATTGACGACGAAATGAAACAGAGTGTTTTAAGGCATGTCAAAACGTTCCAGCCTATTGAATCTCATTATGTGCGTAAGGACACTACTAAAATTTACTTAGAGAGTGACCTAACATTTACAAAAATGTTTTCATTATACAATGAGTGGTGTACGATTGAAAATATAACTAAAAAAGCAATGACAGTAAGACAGTATCGAGATATCATAAATCAAAATTTGAATATATCATTTCACAAACCGAAAAAAGACATCTGCAATGAGTGCCATATATGGGCCTTTCTTTACTAACAGGAAAATCATGGTCCAAGCATTTTTTTTTACTTTGGCTATATAAATGCATAGTTTTATTTATTAAAACTCAAAAAATATAACCTGTTAGTTAAGTAGCCAAGCTTAATCAATAATTTAGAATCATAATCATTTCATAAATTTGGTCTAAAAGCCACTAAAAACAGTCCTCTGTTATGTCCTAATTCCGGATCGAGTATGATTCGGTTCGGGTTTTATTAGTAGTATTTAAAAATGTAAAATCTTATAACTCTATTATGCATTCAATATTCTTTATGTTAACAAAAAAACAATTATAATTTTAGATATTTTTTAAGTACTAAAAACTAGTGTTCGAATTTTGTCTAAACATTTTTTGAACAGTCCTCTGTCACAATTTCAATATCGCGCCACAAAAATATTAAATACTATTGTGGCTACATTGCGAGTGAAACGGAAACTTAACAGTGTGAAGTTTACTCGGTCGCCTTGCTAAACAAGTCGCCGCCATTTTGTGCAGTAACAACTCCTCCTCAACGGTTGAGAGAACATTCCTCTGGTAAGTACTTTTTACGGTGTTTTATGTGTTTTAATTATATTCATTTAACAAGAAAATTGCTCATTGTGATAATTTGTAGCTGTTTCTTTGTTATGAAGTAATATGAAAAACTGATACGTAATATGCCATTTTTACGTAAAAATAACAGTCATCTGTGCAACAGTCCTCTGGAAATGTATAACACAGAGGACTGTTCAATGTGACAGAGGACTGTTTTATTTGACGTCCGTGTATTTTATTAATATTCTTTTTATAGTCTGCACTAACCTACTGCTTGCCGATAGCCTCTTTCTTTCTTACATTGGATTGTCACGCTAATTCAGGTCTTTTGTTTTCTATTATTATGGGTTTTGGAAGCTTTTAAACCCTTACGGTTTTTTTTAAATATTGAAAGTATGCTTTATTGTTTTAGTATAGCCGCAATGCCACTAAAGAAGAAACCTAAAACCAAAGAAGAAATAAAAGAGCAGAAACGAATTGCAGAAAGATTAAGATATCAGATATCAAGAAATGGATATCTGAGAAACAAACTTACAACGACCCCAAGACCAAGAATGCTCGAACACTTACCAAATACCTAAAGAAAACGTTCACGGTTCGCCCTCGAGAACTAATAGAAGAGCTGCACGAGGATTTGGAAGCCTACTATCAACACGAGAGAAACATTACCCATCAATACAATGCTATCAAGAAATACAAATAAAACCTTACCGACGAAGACGCTATAATACATATGGATTTTTCAGAAAATTATTGTTTTTAATACGGTCAAGAAATACAAGCAATCTTAAATAAAGAAGTCTCGACCCTCCAAAATGAAATCATTTTGGAGGGTCGAGACTTCAGCTAAGTCTTCATACTGTGGTAGTGTATACCAAAAAAACTATCAAGTCTTATTGTACTGTTTCCAAAAATCTCACACATTCACCAGCTGCTATATGGGCATATTTGCGGCCAATCTTTAAAACTCTCCCACCTAACATAAAATGTATCCACTTCGTCAGCGATGGACCCGTAACTCAATACAGAAACAAAACGATGTTTTACATCCTAGCATCAAGGCTTCAACAAAAGGTTTTAAATTTGAAGGAGTTTACCTTGAACTATTCAGAGAGTGGCCATGGCAAAGGGGCCCCTGATGGCATTGGAGCGACCTGCAAGAGAACCGCTGATGCCGTCGTCGCTACAGGAAGTGATATTGACAGCTTGGAATCAACCAACAGAATTACACTATCGGTGATTACGTCTTGGTTAAATTTCTAGTAAGAAACACTGAATATTGTTATGCTGCAGTAATCAATAAGATAGACACGGAAGAAGGCGAACTAACAGTGACCTTCTTAAAAATTTGTGATGACATAGGACACACAATCAGAGTCGATGAAAATGATGTTTCTGATGTGCCCTTTGACCGAGTATTAAATAAGTTGCCAAACCCAGATATTGCCCTAAAAGGGAAACGAATATTTTATTATTTTAATATACCTGTACCTGTTTTTGAGAAATAAGTCTGCATTGATAAGTAACCAAGGCTGATTCTTAGTAATACCTAAGCTTAATTTTCATTATAATTATTTTAACTCTTTACTTAGAGCGCTAAGCTCGCAATTTGTTCGTGATAAATATGTCTTTAAATTCTGTATGTGATACAGTATTCAATAAAGAAGAGAATTTATTTGATTACATCTATTAATTTGAATTCAATCGTGAGTGCGCGCAGCAACTGTCAACACTTGCTCCGTCTTACCGATGTTATTATAAATATAATCAGTGAATAATATAGGGCAAATTTATGTTTAAAAGTCATAAATCGATAAAAACTAACGAACTAAAAAATTTTTTGGTGCATAAACTTCGAATAAATACTTGAAAAACAAGATTATCTAAAACGTATTGAGTGAGTGATTCAGCACGGACTAACCTGCTAAGATTAACTTTTCTATGACCTGTGATGTCGGTAGTGTAAAAAAGAGACATAAGTGACTATTTATTGTGAAACGTTACTTAACATATTTTGCAGTGAAAGTGCATACGTGACTGGAAAAAAAAATTATAATTTATAATTATTAGTCACCACGTCAAATATCACTAGCAAAACTAAATGTATAGAAGAAATTCAGCTATTACGTCAAACCACTAGTTGGCCGCCTCCATACGACGACGACGCCTCTTCAACGGACCTAGGGCAATAGCGAACTAGCGGCCAGGTTGCGGCGGCCATCGAGATAGAAACCATAGTATGAAATCGCCATATAGCACGCGCACCTGGCCGCACGCGGCCAGCGGCCACACCGAGCTGCAGCGGCCTTCCAGATCGAAGCGACGCATTTGCGGCCCGTGTTCGGTCGCTGGTCGCTGCGGCCACTGGGATCAATTGCATTGTAGTTAAATAAGCGGCGGCCGCACGTATTGTGGAACTACAGCGTGTTTTGTAATCATTGCGATGTCTTTCGACACGGAAAGATTTATAACCGATATTGAGACAAGGAGGGCGTTGTGGGACATGTCCTGTGAAGACTATGCCAACCGTGACTTAAAGAGGATGATGTGGGAAGAGATTATAGAAATATTTAGTAATGAAAAATTAACAATAACTGAAAAAAACGAACTCGGTAAGTAATGTTTATTTTTTTGTGTTCTCAGAGCTGAGCTGAGACAAGCGGCGAGGTGTGCGGGGGTGGGCCCCAGGCGCTTGTACCTTCCAAGTACCACGTTTTTTTCTAATCTATTGATAACGTAACTCACGTGGGCCCTGCGTTGTCTCTGTCTCTCTATTAGAAGTTTGTATAAGTCTGTCTATACTAGTTATAAAGACGCGAGGCTTTGTATGTTTATTTTATTGTGTTCTCAGCAGAGCTACTCGATTTTGCCACGGGAGTTGTCCTTCACCTACGAAGTAGTCAGCAAATAGATCTCTGTTTTGTGTAGATGTTCTATTTCCTCTTGAAGGCTGGCAGGGAGGTATTCCTTCAATAGTCTGAGGAATATACAACGTGTCTTCGAATTTTTACCCGTCTCGCTCCCGTACGTAGTTGTGAAGGACGCAACATGCTTTTATGATTGCAACAGCAAATTCTCTGTGTACATCAAGAGGACGATGAAAAATTCGCCACTTGTTGGCTAGTATCCCGAAAGTACATTCTATGTACCGGCGCGCACGGGAAAGGCGATAGTTAAAAATTCTTTTCTTGTCTGTCAAATTTCTTCCGGCATATGGTCTCATTATATTTTCTGACAAAGAGAATGCTTCATCGCCAACAATGACAAAAGGCCGAGGCACACCTGTTTCAGTTATCGGTCTCTTGTCTGGCATGTCTAAATCATTATTTGTAAGTTTTTCATAAAAATGCGAGTTCTTGAATACCGATGAATCGCTGCATTTTCCATATTCGCCGACGTCTATACATATAAATTTGTAGTTGGCATCGCATATAGCCATCAGCACAATAGAGAAATAGTTTTTGTAGTTATAATATAGTGACCCTGTATGGGTTGGCTGAATGACTCTTATGTGCTTTCCGTCCACAGCTCCAGTACAGTTAGGAAATTCCGAACTGTTCCTAAATCCTTCACTTATTTCTAGCCATTTGTCTCTATCGAGTTGTGGAAAGGCAATGTCTTTTATATTTTGCCATATGGCGACGCAAACCTCAAGTACAATTTCACGAACAGTTGTGTGTCCAATGCGAAATGAATGATTTAGTTCTCTGAAGGAGCATCCAGATGCTAGGTATCTGGAACAAACAAACACGTTATGATAACTTTATTTTTTCATTTCCAGGTAAGTCACTCCAAAAAAGATGGAAAAATATAAGGGACTCATTTCTCAGGGAGCTACGACGTGTCAAAGGCGCAAAAAGTGGCGCCGCAGCGAAACGTAAATCTCCCTATGTATATTTTCAAAACCTGATGTTCCTTAAAGATACAGTGGAACCGAATACAACAGAATCGAACTTAAATGATACGGAAAATATAGTCCCTCCCAGCCCCGAATCAGTATCTCAAGGACAACCAAGATCAAAGAAGAAAAAGGAAGAGAATAATTTCAAAAAAGAAGATCTTGTTTCGGTTTTAAAAGAAAGCATAAATTCAAGAATTCAACGTGAATCAATTCTCGAAGACGACAATGACAGATTATTTATGCTTTCCTTAGTAAAGGATTTCAAAAAAATACCAGAATCCGCGAAACTGACAACCAAGATGGAAATTATTAATTTAATACACCGAGCTCAAAGTGCAAAACATGGTCCAAGCCACTATGAACCTATGACCAGGCACAGCCAACCTACTTACCCTCGAAGCAGTCATGATTCTTTCACAAAATTGTCTTAATTGTTATTACTGCTACTAATTTGTTTGTTTATCATTGCTTAGTAAGTAACTTGATCAATTTTTGTTTTTATATACTGAATTATACGTTATTTCCACAATGATTAATATATTTTATCAAAATGTAAACAAAATTCCAACTTCGATATTATATGCTTGACGGAAACGAACTTAAATATGAGTGTTTTCGATGGCGAAGTTGTTGACGCCCGTTATAATCTCTTCAGACGAGATCGTGCGGATTCCTCCAGTGCTAAAACCGAGGGAGGTGGAGTTTTACTCGCCGTCCATAAAAAATACCAGGTCATCCGTCAAGCATCGTGGGATAGTGATATGGAGGATGTCTGGGTTACTCTTATTCCTGTAGCACGTGACACTTCTCGCTTAAATTTATGTGTTTGCTATTTGCCTCCTGATATTAACAAGCTTGTACTCTTTTATAGCCATTGCCAAAATTTACTTCTTAATCGTTTCCCTTCGGATAATTTCTTATTAATTGGTGATTTTAACACACCTGATTACTTTGATTCGATTAATCCCTCTCTGTCAATTTCCCCTAACCCGAGTAAGAAGCTTCTTCTACTAAATGAATTAATGTCACTGTGTAATCTAAAACAGCATAACTTTATCACAAATGCAAACGCTCGCTTGTTGGATTTGGTGCTTTCTAATATAGATTGTATAAGTGTCAATGAAACACTTGCATTAAATTTGTTAGATAAAAATCATCCCGCAATTTTGATTACTCTTTCTCCAATTCAGATATCTAAAGGGCTTCAACGCGCTAACATTAAACGGCTTAATTTTGCTAAATGTAATTTTGAAAACATTAAATCTGAACTCCAGTCCGTGAACTGGTCCGAAATCTTATCGTCCCCTTGTATTGATGAGTGCTCCGAAGCTTTTTATGAGCTTTTATTTGAAATAATATCAACGAAATACACCAAGTTGTTGCAGCAAATTCTCATCTTATCCAGTTTGGTACAGCAAATCTTTAATTAAATGTAATGAAGAAAAAAACTTATATCATAAACGGTTTAAGAGGTTTGGGAATCCCCGCGATTACGATGTTTTCTCTTTGCTGAGGGAGAGATGCAAATTTCTTACCAAGATTTGTTACGACAAGTATATCGCATCCATTGAGGACTCGTTGGTCAAGGACATAAAATCATTTTGGAGATTTGTGAATAATCGTAAAGCCATATTTCAGTGCCTCACACCATGACACTTGAAAATACTTCAGAGTCAGACGGTCAGGGGTTATGTGACCTTTTTTCACGATACTTTGGTTCAGTTTTTGACGGTAAAACTAACCCTTACACTGACCAATCTGGTGCTGTAAATAACACGTATTTTAATGTATTATCTGGCTTTTATATTACGGTAACAGATATCGAACGTAAAATAGATAGTTTGGATATTAATAAAGGGGCAGGTCCTGACCTTCTGCCTCCTATTTTCATAAAAAGTTGCGGAAAGGAGTTGTCCATTCCATTATGTGTTCTCTTTAATAAATCGTTAACTAGTGGTGTGTTTCCTAAGCGCTGGAAAACTGCCCACATAATATCTATTTATAAAAGTGGCGATAAGTCTTATTGTAAAAACTATAGACCGATAAGTATTTTATCTTGCGCTGCTAAATTATTTGAGTCAGTGATGTGTACTCATCTGTACAGTCATTTTAAGCCTGTTCTTTCAGACAAGCAACATGGTTTTGTTAGAAACAGGTCTACGGTCACTAACCTTCTGGAATACAAAAACTATCTCTGTCAAGTGTTTGCCACAGGTGGCCAAGTTGACTCTGTTTACACTGACTTCTCCAAGGCTTTTGACAAGGTAAATCACCATCTGCTCTGTCATAAGTTAGCGTCACATGGTATCCACGGCAGTTTATATAGATGGATCTGCTCATACCTAGACTCTAGAACTCAGTTGGTTGCGTTAAAGGGCTTCATCTCTGCACCTATCGCAGTTACATCAGGAGTACCTCATGGTTCCCACTTAGGGCCATTATTCTTCGTAGTTTTTATTAATGACCTTATTCAACAACTGTCCTGCAATTGTCTCTTATATGCAGATGACTTAAAAATATTTACTTCTATTACTAATTTAGATGACTGCTTTACATTACAGCGTGATATCAATACAGTATCACAATGGTGCAAGACTAACTACATGTATTTAAATATAGACAAGTGTTTTGTCATATCGTTTACTAATAAACGAAACAAAATCGTATGGAACTATGACATAGATGGTCAATTAGTTAACAGATCAGATGTTGCAACAGACCTAGGTATCCTGTTCGATGACAAGCTTTCATTCCGTGCCCACTATAGTCACATCACGTCCAAAGCAAACCATCTACTGGGTTTTATTCTTAGATCCACAAAAGGTTTCAAAAATCCTTGTAGCACCTTGTACTTATACTTCAGCCTCGTAAAAAGTATATTAGAATACGGTAGTCCTATATGGTCGCCGAATTATAACGTGCACATTGACGATATTGAACGAATTCAGAGGAAATTTCTCAGAATTTTATGTTATCGTATAAAACCTGGCCGGTCTAACTTAAATTATTGCGATAGACTCCTGAAATTTAAAGTTCAACCATTAGAATCCAGACGCATAATCTTCGACTTAGTTTACCTTTACAAAATCACCCACTCCATTATAGACTCTCCCGAACTACTAGCTCATATAAGCATTAACATTAAATTTAGTGCCCGTAGATCTAGTGAAGTCAATCTATTTTCCCTACAAATTTATAAAAATAACATCTCGTATTACAACCCTTTGACCAGGATGGCTCGTCAATATAACGAGATGGCAAAGAGCAATCACTTACTTGTGGACATATTCTGTCACAATATTAATATATTCATCAGTGTCATTAAAGACATCCTCCATCGTAGGTTAAGTGCTGACCCTTGTGGCCCTGGTTGCTATACCTAAATGACTTGACCCACCCTCATCGTTAAACTAGTGTCGAGGAACTTCTTATTTTTTTTCTTATTTTTTTACTATGTTACCTTTAATAGTCATGAGCTTTTTCATTATTGTAACATTAATTTTGCAGTGTGCACATAGTTTTACGTTAGAATCCAGTTCAAATCTCTTAGTTTTAAGTTTATTTTTGTAAAGATTGTGTTTTGTGCATCATATCAAATAAATAAATTAATATTGTGTTTTTCTTCATATAAACTTTGACATAAACTGTTATCTGGGTGAAAAAAACAGTCCTCTGGGTGGCAAAACAGTCCTCTGCCGCATTTTTTAACAAAATTGCCTATAATTCGAAAAATAAGGGAAAATTACAATGGTTCCTTGTTTATATGTATTTTTATTATAACTATCTATCGACTTAACGTATTATATTTTTAATTTTCTAGAAGAATAGGGTTGGGACAACTGTCAATAGACAAGTTTCCAGTTAGTAGAGAAAGGCCCATATACAATACAAACTTAAATACAATGACAGAAGAAGAAAAACAAAAACAAGAACTTCACATGCGAAACAAGACTAAAGCTAGAGAAGTGAAGGCAAATGATAAAAAGGAAGCTTTGGAAAGCAAAGGAAAAATAGTTACGGCGTGTTTTGATTTCCAAAAAATTTTAAACTGTCCCCATGGCAATGTCGGTTTATTTTATTATAAAAGAAAATTGTCAATTTATAATTTTACTGTATTTGATCTAGCTAGTCAAGAAGGTTATTGTTACATGTGGTCCGAGATTAATGGCAAACATGGGGCGTGTGAAGTAGCAAGTTGCTTGTCTAAATTTATTGAAACTAAAGTTAGTCAAGGTGCCAAAGAATTCAGGTTTTGGTCCGATAACTGTGCCGGCCAAAATAGAAACCGTATTGTGTTTGCATGTTATACCTATGTAGCAAAAAAGTATGGTATAACGATAGTTCATAGGTTTTTAGAGCGCGGGCACACACAAAATGAAGAGCTCCATCAAGCCGGAACCCGCTTTAGAAAAAACTTGATTTTTCTAAATTTACTTTTATCTACAAACGATGCTAATAAATGTAGTATTGATGATAATTATTTTGTAGTCTTATTAGTTACCGAAAAAACTTCATTGATATTATTTGAACTAAGAAATATGAGCAATAGTACGCTAAATAGTTTTGAACTAAGTTCTGAATTGATTGTAGTTTATTGTAGTAACAAAAAAATTTTACTTTGTTTTATATTATTTTAAAGGATCGCAAGAATTCTACAATAGAGAGATTTTAAATCATTAAATAACACTTATTCCGAAACTACAAACGATACAGATGATTGTAGCTGAAATCAGTTGTTTGTAGTGACTGTGACACTAATAAGTTTATTAGTGGTTCTAAGTTAACTCAGAGAACTTTATCTCTGTCTTTTGAATGTAGACGGTTGATTGCTATGTTAATAGCATACAATATTAACAAGGTTATAGCTAATATAACAAATTCTAGGATTAGTGACGAGACTGTGTTGCCTAGTTACACTAACAACACAGTGATTGATAATATATCTTTATGTTGTACGAAGGAGGGTCCACCTATAATACCAACATACTTGGAGGCCAATACCAGTCAGATAGAGTATACTCTTCCTGCTGGAACACATACCTTAGGTTATTCTACAACTGTAGAGGTCACTCCGGATAGTACTTTAAACTAGGCTGTAAGACAACAGAAGTTAACCGTTTAAATAATCAATTATTATTTGTGGATAATAAAAAGGTATCTTCTGGCAATTTAACATGTTTTAATAAACCAAAAGGAAAGCAACATACTTTAAGATTATTTCATCAGAATATTCAAGGTTGCTCTTCCAAATTACTGGAAATAGAAATGTTTTTAGAAAAAACCAAGTTCGATATTATTTGTTTAACTGAACATTGGTTAGATGATCATCAGATAATGTCTATTAATTATGAAAATTATTGTGTAGTTAGCTATTTCAGCCGGAAGTGTATGATACACGGTGGATCATTAATATTAATCAAAAATTCTGTTAAATCTAAAGAAAGGAAAGACATTATCAGATTGTCAGTTGAACATTCTATAGAGTTGTCCTGTGTCGAGCTCGATAGGCATGTTGTAGTATGTGTTTACAGACCTCCGGGCTATCAGAATCTATCTGTATTTGATTCTGTAATGGAAGATGTGTTAAAAAAACTTAGTACTAGTAGTAAATCAATCATCATAAGTGGTGATTTTAATATTAACTTATTAGAAACAAACTCAAATAGTATCAGATTAATAAGTCTTTTTAAATCATTTAATCTGTCTAATGTTTTTATGGAACCAACTAGAGTGACAGCTTCTTCTGCCACTTGTATAGATAATATTTTTTGTAATTGTGATTACTTACATAAAGAAATTGTTAATAAATTGCCTTCTGATCACAGTGGACAAACAATAACGTTTTGTGCCTACATACCTGTACAAAAAATTCAAATAAGGTATAGGCCAATTACATGTAAAAATTTAGAGAAATTAAATAATACCTTGACCAGTAAATTGTGTGTTCAAAACTTTAATAATATTTGGGACCCTAATGAGTTCTATGCGGAGTTTTTTACCTTGTTAAAATCGCAATTTAATGACATTGTTCCACAAAAGACAAAAAGTATTTACACCAAGTTCTTATTTAGTGATTGGGCGACTCCAGGTATTCGTAAGAGCAGGGATAAACTTTTTTGAACTATATGGCCTAAGGCAACATGTAAAAAATACAAACTTTCATCAGCATGTTGCGAAATATTCAAAAACTTTTAAAAGTGTGTGCAAAATTGCTAAATCACTGTATATTAGTAATAAAATAAAATCAGCGGATGACAAAATAAAAACTACCTGGCAAATAATAAATAATGAAACTGGTAGAAAAAAACAGCGTAATACTGAATTTAACTTAGAGACTGCGCATGGCCCAATAAACTCAAATGCAGAAATAGCTCAGGAATTTGAAAACTTTTTTATCAATATTCCCTTTAAAACTACCGAAGCTTTAAGTTCATCATCCGCACTTTCTTTTGCGTTACTTACGAAGAATGTAAGGGCATGCCCTACGGAGTTTCGATTTCAATATACAAACCCCCAGGCTGTTATGAAAGCTTTTAAAGATCTTAAAATTAAATCTACAGAAGATCTTTGGGGATTGTCTGTAAAAGTCTGTAGTTCTATCATCGAAACTATTGCGCCTTATTTAGCTTTCATATTTAACACCAGCATAGACCAAGGAGTCTTTCCGGATCTCATGAAACACAGTAAAGTAGTTCCGTTGTTCAAATCCGGTGATAGTAAAGAACCCAATAATTATAGACCTGTGTCAATTCTGCCAGCTCTCAGTAAGGTTTTTGAAAAGTTAATGCTCAATCAAATGTTATGTCACTTTAATAAAAACTCCATCTTTCATGAACAACAGTACGGTTTCACCAAAGGGCGTTGTACAACTGACGCCGGTGTCTCCCTAATCAAGAACATTTTTAACGCTTGGGAGGAAGCACAAGATGCCATTGGAATCTTTTGCGACCTTTCGAAGGCGTTCGATTGCGTAAACCATGAGACTCTTCTGCTGAAACTTAATCACTACGGGATTAAGAACAAAGCTCTGGACTTACTAAGATCTTACTTGAAAAACAGACAGGTTAAAGTTCAGGTTAACGGCATAAACTCGTTAGGGTCTGAAATTACAATGGGCGTTCCTCAGGGTTCAATATTGGGTCCATTCCTCTTTTTAGTATACATAAATGATTTACCCCAATTAGTTCAGAATAAACCGAAGATGGTGTTATTTGCAGATGACACATCATTGATTTTTAAAGTAGATCGACGGTCACAAAATCGTGACGACGTGAATAACTCTATTCTTCGGGTCCAAAATTGGTTTACGGTAAACAATTTGGCACTGAATGATAAAAAAACTAAATGTATTAGATTTACGTTGCCAAATGTTAAAAGTAAGGAATGTGACATAATGTTGAATGAAGGAAAACTGGAATTTATTAATCAAACGGTTTTCCTAGGCATCACGCTAGACGAGAAGTTACAATGGGGACCTCATATCACATCTCTTGCGGGGCGGCTGAGCTCAGCCGTTTATGCGGTTAGAAAGATAAGATATTTAACCAATGTAGAAACTGCGCGTTTGGTCTATTTTAGCTACTTTCACAGCATAATGTCTTACGGCATTTTACTGTGGGGTCGGGCTGCTGACATAGAATCCATTTTTATTTTGCAAAAGAGAGCGGTCAGAGCCATTTATAATCTACGTCGTTGCGAATCTCTCAGGGAACTATTTAAAAAGATTAATATTATGACAGTACCTTGCCAATTCATTTATGAAAATATTATGTATGTAAGAAAGAATCTACATCTTTTTAGTAAAATAAATGAAAGACATAATTTTAGTACTAGAAATAAAGATAAAATAGCTCAACCATCTTTCAGATTAGCCAAAGTTCAAAATTCATTTATGGGGTACTGTGTGAAATGTTACAATAAAATACCTTGTGACATTTTAAAACTAAATGAACGAAAATTTAAATGTTTTATTAAAAGTACACTTTGTAAACAAGCATATTACAAATTAGATGATTATATTCAAGATAAGAATGCTTGGAAACATGCTGGTCCTGCTCCATAGGACAATCCTATGATTGGCTCTATAGCCTGGACAAAATCAAATTGGTTGCTGATTTTTTGCTAAAAAAAAATATGTTAATTTTTGTTATTATTATTATTATTATTTTTTTTTTTTAATTTATATAATGCTACAAATGTAATTATTTTTTTTGTATCTCACACACTGTTTTGTTGTGTTTTTTTAATATTTTTATTACTCTTTAATGTTAATATTCTAAGGTTTCGATATTTGTAAATATGTGAGGAACATGTATACTAACTTTTTTAGTATAGTAGTTTATTCTAAGAGTACATTGTCTTCACATATAATTATTTAACAAATGTAACAAAATATTGTAAACCTATTTTAAAAGAGTAAGTGTGGAGTTTCTTGCCCATTCTTCTCCACACGAAACTACCTTTTGGAAGGGGCAACTAGAATCATCTTTATATTTTTTTTTTTTGACGTTCAAAAGTGCCATTTTAGATGGTCTAATTGAAATAAACGATTTGACTTTGACTTTGACTGTCGAGCTCTTATTAGTGACGAGAGGCGAACAGAATCAAGTGTTCAATAAGTCAATACACCTAGGACAATAATGAGCCTTAGATTCCATATCATTTGTAATTTAAAATAAAAAAAAAATATTCACATATCTTAATATAGATATTTCTTGTGTGCGTGTGTATGTGACTGAACTCCTCCTAAACGACTGGACCGATTTTGATGAATTTTTTTGTGTGTGTTCAAGGGGATCTGGGAATGGTTTAGATTCACAAATCAGCCCGGCAGATGGCACTGCAGTCGGTACTTTCATACTTTGCTTAATATCCTAATCGCTTTAAATATCATGCAGGACAACGTCTGTGGGGTCCACTAGTATATATATATATATATACATTTGCCATTTCCTATTATGTAGATTATATATTTGTAAAATGGCCATTTTCGAGAAACCATTGTAAACTTTTATTAAAAATGTTGTGGAGCATTTTTTACTTATAATTACAATTTTGAAAAAAAATTTAGTCACGAGATTTGCCTAGAAGGGGAATGATGCATACATAATTTTCACTGAACTACATCGAACTGCAAATATTTTAAACTACTAAATCTATAATTATGTTAAGTTAAATAAAGAAGAATTTTGAGAACCGAGAACCTAAACCCTTCATTGAATTCAACTACTATTGTTTTTTTGCGCTAAGAACCATTCGAAGATTACTAATTGCTTTATTAAATGCCTTATAGTGCGTTTGTAGCAACTCAAGAGTAAAAAAATGTTCCTTTTTAATTTGTATTCGTCTACGAACGATGCTGATGAATGTAGTACAATTTTTTTTTGCCGTCTTATTAGCTAGTAAGAAAACTGCATTGATATTGTTTAAACTTATAAATATGAGCAATATTACGATGAATAGTTTTTGAATAGGTTCTGAATTGATTGTAGTTTATTGTAGTAACAAATAAATTTTACTTTGTTTTATATTATTTCAAAGGATCGCAAGAATTCTACAATAAAGAGATTTTAAATCATTAGATAACACTTATTATGAAACTACAAACGCTATAGTTGATTGTAGCTGAATTTAGATGTTTGTATTGATTGTCAAATTGTAGTAGTGGCAACGGCAACTGGAGTTCCATTTACCACCGGATGTGGTATAATATGAGACAACTCCAAATTAAGGTTAAATTTATCGCAATGTTGTAGTTAAACGTCAACTATCGTATAAAGTAAGATATGCTACAGCATATGGTATTTGTATCTCCAATTTTAGTTCAATTTACTCGATATGCGGTCGCGTCTCAATAAACGGTTAATTAAAGAAATATAATATAAAACTAAAGTACTTACGACATAATTGCTGAAACTCCGAAACACTTGTTCACAAAATTCACAAGAACGAGTCACTTGAGTTTGGAAATTTTTTTTACAGAGAACTAATCATATTTCAATGCCATCTGTAGTTTATTGGGTGAACTGTTTCCTAAGCTATCATTCTACGTCGATAAAAACGTTTATCTCTAACCTCAGTTTTAACTAGATGGCATTTTCTTAAACTTGTCGTTTTGGATACTGTAGTATCCATGTACGGATGCCGCCATTATTGTTTTGGATACTGTAGTATCCACGTACGTGAGAGTGGGTAGCGCCACCTGCATGTCTTTTTAGCTGTTATTATTTCTATGATGCATTTCACACAATGTTTTAAAATCTCTATTCTTCTTTTTTGCTTTTGAACCTCTGGAGATATTTATATTTTGAGATAATTTAACACAAGAAATATATCATTATCTTTAATAATATGTGAAATTTTGCTCAGGTGTATTTTAATCATTATTAACGGTAAGTTCGTTGAACATGTTATCTTATTGTAAACATATACATAAATGCAATTCCAAATTTAAGGTTATAATGCTTTATGAATTTATTGTTTGTATATGTTATCGTTCTTAATTTATTTGTAAGTACAAGCAAACGTCAAGCTTTGTAATAATATATAGTTTTAATTGTTTATTGAGATTCTTAATCTCATAAAATCAATGAAATTACTAAGTTGATTATTTAGTAGATCTATATATTCTTGTGTAAGGTTGATTATTAACGACACATTTTAGTATTTACTATAATGATTTAATTTTTTTTTTATAGATATCGAAAAAAGTGATAATGCCAAGAGTTCCTTTGTACTCGCCTGATGACGTTTACAGTCGCTTGAAAAATTTGCAATTTCGAGATGAGACTAATAAATATTTGCCGTACAACGATGAAGTTTGGCGAAGAGCAGTTAAGCTCTTGCCTGGTATTGTAAGTTTGGAACATGTTTGGTTGTATATTACTCAAAATCGAAACAAAGTATCTGAAAAAATTAATGGACCTCAGACAAAAAAAAAAAAATAACAAATAGCGACTTGAACTGGTCAATGCAAAATGCTCCTAAAAGCTTGCCTCCAATTAAAAGACCATTCATTTAACAGCGTCTGAATGGAAAAAGTTAAATCTAAAAACAAAAACTTTCAAAGATAATCGAGAATATGAAGTATTTGAACCTGGTTGGACAGATAAAATTTACAGCTATGTGTGGCATCATTTTAAACTTTCTTGTCCTTTCTCTTTTCAAACTCCGAAAATATCAAGAGGCAGTGATATTTTCTTATCTATTAATGGTGCTTGCGATGAATGCAAAAACGAAATACATTTATATAGCTTAGAAGATGCAAGTGATGATGGTATAGATTTTCATGTTTCTACCTGTGACACTAAACATATTAAACATGTCAAAAAGAGGCAGCTTCGTGGAAATACAAGAAAAGAAGTAATCAATGAATTGAATGGTAAGTCTACCTATATGTGGCGACGACAAAAAGCTGACGAAAAAATGGAGTTTGGAGATGATGAACCAGCTGATTTACCAAAAGAAAGTGTCCTAAGAAATGCTAAATACACGAAGAATCGTAAAGATTTAGGTCTTGAATCTTTTTCTCATCATATATTAGCTGTTGAAAATTTGAAGACTAATCCAAAGTACTCTGAAGCCCTACACGAGATTGCATTCAATAAAATGTATGTTATGTACTGGTTACCAGAGCAGATTTCATTGTATAAATTATTTATGCAAAAGGATCCAATTAAGGAAATTAAAATCGATGCAACAGGAAGCTTGATTCAATGTTTATCAGCAAACGATAATTCAAAACGAGTTATTTTATACTATCAAGTCATAGCTACCTATCAAAAATCATCACTCCCACTTCTCCAATTGGTCTCTGAAAAGCATGATGCTAATACTTTGTCTTATTGGTTGCGAGAATGGTTAAGATGTGGAATCAATGCGCCGAAACAAGTCGTCACGGATTTTTCTTTAGCTCTTCTCAATGCAGCTACATTGGCATTCAACAATATGCCTTTATCCCAGTATATAGATGAATGCTATAAAAGTGTTGTTGATGGCACATTGATTGAAAAAACAACCATTCTTCGAATTGATGTGGCCCACTTATGCAAATTCGTTTCAATGTGGCCTTGTTTTAATAAAAATAATCGACACTAAAAAGATTTCTACATGAGGTGTCTTAACTTCCTACGAAATTCTATTTGTCTGGATGATTTTAAAAAAATACTGACCACTGTGCTTACTGTAGCTTATTCTGACTATCAAGATAATAATGATAGGAATGCATGTTCACGATATAAGTCTTTATTATTAAATTTAATGAAAAGTGAGTTCGAAAATTTACCTGAGTTTCCGGAAGATCACTTGTTTGTAGACATGTCTACTGTAGATGAAGACCCTGAAGCACAGTCAAATCATAGGGCAAAAAAGCCTAAAGTAATTAGACCCATTAAAAGAGATCTAGAAAATATCCGGCTTGAATGCTGTAGAAATGTTGCTGGTTCAACTCCCAATGACTATGCAAATAAAGATTTTGCTGATCGGCTAATAAAGCTCTGTGATTATTTTTTACTTTGGACTGCTATAGTTCCAACTCTATTTTATAAGGATAAAATTGAAGATATCGCATCAATTATGACAGCAAGCTCGGCTATTAGCGAAGAATATTTCAAAGACGTTAAGAAGCATGTATTTGTTAATAAAAAACATAACCCTCTTGTTGCTTTCCTGAAAACTCATCTGAATGTTTTGAGTGGCACCATGAAATTACTTGCTGCGATGTCTAACAAGTACTCTAAAGCTGATTCGGATAAAAGTGATACGACTGTGAGTGATGAAGACATTGAAACAATAAGCGGAATTTCTAAAACCTTGGAAGACGTTGAGGAAGAACAAAGTGAATATCACGAAACTTCAGCTAGTTTAGAATGTGAGCGTCGTGAAATAAACACTGAGAGTACTATTTCCGATGATACCAATAACAACTATACAGTAAATGATTCTACACTTATCTCCGCAATAAATCCAATTGACTTATCACTTCCAAAAATAACAAACAGTCTTCTCAATGATTTAAGCAGCATAATAAAAATAGAAAAAATCGAAGATTTCAACATTGGTAACAGTGATTTAGAAATGAGTGTTGCTGATTTGTGTACAACACATTATGAAAATGATGATAATGAAACTAATTTAGATGAACCGAAACAGAATAAATAAAATATGCTGGACATAAACAAAAAATCGCCACCGATGTTGAAGAATTTTTCATCCACTCTTAACAATAGCAGCAGTACTCGTGATAAATTAATTAACTTGTTGACTCCAATTTCTGATAATAATAAGAGTGAATATAATTCAACTTCTATAACTCAAGACGATAATAAATACAGTTACACAATATTTTTTTTTATTTGTTAGTAATTGTTCATTTTTCAAAACAAGTTCATCTGAATCTACTGTTTTTGAAATGATGCCATTACAATTTTTTTTCAATTATTGTTTCTGTACAAGTACAAATCTCTAAAAAGCTTCTTGAAATTATTTATTTAATTTTTTAATTATAAAATTGTTTTGCACGTTATTATTTACAGAAATATTGACCAGAGTTCGATATTAATTAATGATGAAACCAGTAATATTGAAGATTTGGAGAATACTGTTGAGGAGGACAATGTAGATTGTGAAACGGAAGTACAAAGTTTTGGAGATGATGAGTTAGCAAAGAAACGCTTTTTTTGTCAAAAAGTCAATAAAAAACGTAAAGGGCGACAAATATACTGTCGTAAAATTAAAAACAAAATACCCTTTCTGGAAAAAATTAAAAATGATTCTACAGAACTGGGCGATATATAAATGTTACGGAAAATTCAAGAAGAAAATAACTCTGTTAACGATACTTTTTTGGCGTATCATAATATATGTAATGTCAATTATTTTGCCAAATACCAAAGGCAAATGAATCCATCTCCAACTGAGGATTGGGCCACGAAACGAGATGGCCATAAAATTCCCAGAGAACGCTTGATTAATTATATTCAGCAAGAAGATATTACAAATCGACGAGTGATGTCATTAGCTCACTTGAAATATTGTTATGCTGAATTTGTAAAAGAAATTTATGAACACGCAAATTTAGAATCTACCACATTTAGCAATCAAGCTCTCAAGGACTATATACAAACTCAATTAAAACACAAAATATCATTGGTCAATATTTCATAAATCAACAATATTTTAGATCATTCTGAAATCGATATTGAAACAATCGATGATGAAGAAATTAATGATATATTATTTGAACAAGAGGCAAAAGATTTTGTCTTGAAATATCGAAAAAATACATTGGGAATAAAACAAAAAACCTTTAACAGATTTCATCGACAGTGAAGTATTAAATGAAGGAGAGTGCGATGTTCCAAAATGGTTAGATATATTTTGGACTTCTGCTTTAAGCGGTATTGGCAAAGAAAGCTGCGATCGGGTTCGGAGATTGTATTCATCTTTTTCGCAGGACTCTATCTACAGCATTACAAGAGGTTATATTAAACCGCGAAAGCATATTTTATTGGGTATAACCATAAAAAGTCTCACAGGAAGCAAAAAAGTCGTGGATATATTAAGCAGGCAAGGATACTGCATCACCTATCTGACTGAAAAAAAAGGAAGATGACAAACTTAACAAGGAAAAAGAAATGGAAGAAAAACGAAAGATGAGAGAAAAAAAGAAAAAACCAAAATTAAAGTAACAAACTAAAAAACAAAATAAAGAAAAGAAAAATGATATGAAGAGCAAACTCAAAGAGCCTACGAAAAGTACAAATACGAATTTAGCCGACCCTAACACAAATGAAATTGCAGTTTCAAGCTCGTCCAGTTTGACTGTCCATCAAAACACAAAATCTGTAACCCATCCAAACTCGAAAATAACTGTTTTGCAAGATATATCTTTAGCACCAAATGAAAAAGTGTCTCTTGAAGATATTTTTTTTGGACAAAAACCTGTTCAACTAAGAGAAATTACTTTAAAAGCTTTAAAAAATGAAACAAATAGAAAAATTAAATGCGAAATCAAACAAACAAAACCAAGACAGAAGAAACAGAACAAACAAATTGAAGATAACTTGTCTACCGATAGTGAATTTAGTCTTCATGATTCAGATACAGATGTTGACGACTTCAAAACGTATATTGTAATGTACTTAAAAGATAAAGTTTCAGAGGAAGAAATAGAAAATATGTCATTTGGATTTACCGACATCCAGTATTATGAAGAAAAATCCCACAAATTTACAGAACAGGACTGGGTACTGGTTAAATTTTCGGCAAAAAAAGCCTGAAGCACTATGTGGGGCAGATTGTCAAAATAAGTAATGACATTTCTACCGTAAAATATTTAAGAAAAACACAAACTAAACAAGGATTACTGCATTTTGTATACCCCAATGTTGACGATATATTTGAATTGCTGCATGTTGAAGATATTATTTCAATTTTGCCAAAGCCTACAGTTTCACGTCGGGGCCAAATTTCATTCAATGTTGATTTTGGTAGCTTCAATATACAGTAACGTATCGTTTTTAGTAAGCTGTTTTTACAAACACGTTTTTTATATGATTAATTTAGTTTAGTATAATATTTATTTACTCATTCATTACCCTCATTTTTATATGTACCAAAGTTGAAGTGCCATTTCTTAGATTATATTAATAACTTATAATATAGGTTCATTGAAACTTTGAGACTTAAATCAACGAAGACTGAATTAACGTGCTTGAGTAATACTTACTTCTACAAAGAATTTTATTTTATTAAAAGTTAATATTTAAGCATTCAAGTGATCCTAGCAGTAAGTTATTGCGATATATCGCGCATAAGCATATGTTACTACTGTTACTTATTTTTAAAACTTACAAATATTTTAATAGTTTTATAATATTTATATCTAATATTAAACTGACTGAGATAGGTATATAGAATTACTGAATTTTGTTATATACCAAAGCTCAAGTGCCATTCCAAAACATAACGTAAGTTTATTAGATATTCGCCTATAGTTTGTTAATACTTATTTCACTCGATCTCTTTCACTTTAGTTATTAAGTTGTAAGGGTAACAAGCCTTGCTTGATTAATGTTTTTGAATAATTACAACTAATATATTTTAGAAGATGTTTCTCATTGATTTTCTTATCGTTACCTAGTTTTGTTAATAATTTATAATAAATATTACACTTAATAACTAATTTCAATGACTAACTTCTTATTTCAGTCCCTTTATAATACTGATACCAAATAAGTAGTTCCAAACCATGGTATTCCCATCGTAAATAAAAGAAAAAATATACTTGACACTCGATTATCAATATTTAGAAAAAAGGTTCATAGCCTCTAACAGAAGAGTGTATGGCGCATTTAGCCGAAATTTGGTTTTAAATACATAGATTCTTCTAGAAAGTGGCTATGAAAAAAAAAATGGCATGCGTTTTGTTGCTCTTTTTCTTAACACCCTCAGCGCCAGACCCTAAGCGACGGTTCTAAAAAAAACTATTTTTTTTTTGTTCGGAAGTGTTTAAAACTACATAATAATCAATTAATAATCTAATATATTGTTATTCACCCCTCCCCGTTTCCCCCCTTTTTCTTGGATTTTTATCCGTGTGACATTTAGATACACGTGGCCTGGGAAATAGTTCATTTGAAATTCATACCTCCCAGGCCATGTGTATCCGAAAAGATACACAGACAAAAACCTTTTTTCTTTTTGTTTCAGGACTCAAGAACGCGTTTGGAAGAAAATATAAGAAAAGACATGAATTCTGATTCATGTTTTTTCTTATATTTTCTATATATTGTTACAGTATAAGTTTTGAAACGTTAAAATAAGTGATATACTATGGAGTTTTCAAGTGATGATTCCGTTCAGGATCCCTATTTTATGCCTGATGAAGACTTTAGTGACACAAGTACAAGTGACGACAATGACAGTCAGATTTGGAGCCCTCCTAGGTTTACAAGGCGTTTATCAACATTTTCGTATAGTGATATGCTTCTATGTCCTGAAATAGAACGGCGTAGGTCATCAAGAACAGCTCCTGTCGATTTAGAACTCCAGCCACCAAACGTGCCAAGTACTTCTGGAACTACTGACGATCAAATTTCTGAACAGGAGTGGATGGAAGTAAAACTGTCCAACATGCAATGGGAAATGCCAAGTCATGATGACCCTCCTGCCATAGATTACACGGTACCAAGTTCTGGCATGAAGGATATTTATGTCGGGTTATTAGCAAATGCGAATCCAATAGACTACTATGACTTGTTTCTAACATTCTAGAACATATCACAGAACAAACCAACTTATACGCAACACAGTGTCTCTTATCTTCAGATTATTTTGCTGGATCTAGAAACCACCTATGGACTCCAGTAACCAGAGATGATATTTTGTAATTTTTCGCTCTAGTTGGATGGATGGGATTGGTGAAATTACCAAGTATCAAAGATTACTGGAGAAACCGCAAACTCTATAGTATACCCCTAGCTCGTACTGTTATGCCTCGGAATAGATTCGAGCTGATTCTGAAATTTGTTCATTTCGCCGATAACCAAACTGCTGATACTGATGACAGACTGTATAAAATAAAAGATGTACTCAACATGTTTATAAAAAACTATCAAAATGTCTACACACCAGGAGAAAAAGATGTGTCGATGGGTCATTAGTCGCTTGGCACGGTAGACTTATCTTCCGCCAATACATACCAAATAAAAGGGCCAAATATGGAATTAAAGTGTTCAAACTGTGTACTGAGAAAGGCTACACATGGAACCTAATTTATATTGCGGTAAATCGAAGGAACCTAACACAGAAGTCTCAGAAAAGGTAGTACTATCTTTGGCAGAGGGTCTTTTCAATGAGGGCAGGACCATGTACACAGATAACTATTACACAAGTGTTCCACTTGCACTGCGAATGCGTAAAAGAAAGACACATTTAGTAGGGACATTGAGAAGTAATAGAAAGTACTTACATAAAGAATTTACGAACACCAAACTGAAAAAAGACGAAATAGTAGCTCAGCAATCGGAGGAGGCATCGTGGCATTAAAATGGCGTGACAAGCGAGATGTGCTTATGCTTTCTACAAAGCAATCTGGTCTAAAAACGGTCGCCAAAAGGAACAGAAGAGGTGAGAGCATAAGTAAACCTGCAAGTATTGAAGATTATAACCTTGGCAAATCATCAATAGATGAGAGTGACCAGATGGCTACTTATGGGTCAGCTTTACGTAGATGCACGAAATGGTATCGGAAACTGATGTTTGAAATTATATGGGGCATCAGCTTGGTGAACGCCCATTTCTTGTATAATCAGTATACCTGTAAAAAGAAACAAACACAGAGTTTCGTGAACGAGTCATCGGAACGATAGGAACGAGACTTGATAAGCCTCGCCTGACTCTGTATTTTAACGTTAGTCATAATTCACATTAAGTCTTGACTCTGAGAGAAGATTCAGAGTCTCCGTGACTTATTTATCTGTGTAATTTAGCAAGAATTGTGATGAAGTAGAATCATCACACACACCCTCACATACACCCATACAACTTTATTTCTACTAACTTCTAACTAGTTTAGTTTTTCTTTCCTTATTTAAAAAGTTAAATTTGTTTGCGTACCCATGTATGAACTTTTGTTACCACTCAATATGACTTTGAACGACTCAAATGTTTTGAAAATGTTAACGGAGACGAAAGAAGACACATCTTCAATCAGTTCTACTTGTTGGATTCCAAGGATAAGCAGGATTCCTTCATGACTTTCATCTAAGCTTATTAAATTTTAAAACGACACCGCGGGACAATATGGATTCTCCAGCCCAAATACTTCTGGGCCGCCGTTTGCACAATAGATTACCAATGAGTAGAAAATTAATGTATGAATCAGTTGATGATTCAAAAAATTATCAAGCGCTAATAAGCTATAAGAAAAAATCTAATTCAAATTATAATAAGACGGCTAGGGACCTACCTAATCTAACAAAGTACCTAAGTTATTGTAAGTAGGTACTTACCTCCATTTTATGTGTTTGATTTATGTTGGTTTTTTCTTTATATTATTAAGGTTTAGTTGTAGTTATAAGTTACATTAGAACTAGACTAGCGTGTTAGATAACTTCTCAATGATAAAACATTCAGGTACTTACCTATAATTATTTGTGTTTACAGCTAAGTTGTTAGATGTTAATTCGAATTACGATTGCTTTATAGCTTTATTTATAAGGGAGAAGATGTGGTATTATTATATACTTATGAAGGGTAATTTGAAAATAAATCAGTGTTAAACCAACTAGCGTGTGTTTCACTACAGGTACAAGTTCAATTTACAGGGAAACTTTTATATTGTTATTATTTTTCTTTTTATTATATTTTCTATTCTAAGTAAAAAGGACGGATAGAATGGAAGAAATTAAAAGTATATTACAATCAATGCAAGAGGCAATCAACCAACAAAAACGACATGCAGGATATGAAGGAAGATATTAAAGAGACAATTAATCGAAGCATTAATGAAAAGTTTAAAGAGCTGGAGAACCAAAACAAAATTTTAGAAGAAAAATTCGAAATCCAAGTAAGTAAAATAAACACACGAAAAAACCTGCTTATTTTTGGAGTAGAGGAAAATGAACAAAGCTACTGGGACTTAGAAAAAAGCGTTGTGGGCATATTCGATAAATGTTAAGATATAAAATGCGACAAAAAAAGCATCGAATACATGAGAAGACTAGGAAAAAAGGGAGAGAAGACCAGACCCATAGTTATCACACTAGCAACGATGGGGTTAAAAATAAACATGCTTAAACAATAGAAAAAATTTGAATCAACACCGTACTATGTTAAAGAAGATTTTCCTTTAGAAATTCTTAACAAACGCAAGGAATTGCAAATAGTTGTTAACACTGAACGAGAAAAAGGAAGACTAACGATTCTAAAGTATGATAAAATTATTTTCTTAAAGAATAAAAATACTGACCCTGTAAGGTTAAGACCAGGAAAAAAGAGGAGAAACCTCGTCGTCACCAAAGTCGATAGAAGTCAACCGCGACACCAATAAACTACGAAAAGTCGCGAAAAACATAAATAAAAACAACCATATTGATAACTACTTGACAAAAGCAATAAATTCAAAACGCCCCGCTTTAGATGAAGCTACATCTCTAAACATCGCTAAATAACAATTACAAGCGCCCCCTCCACCTCTCCGACCACGGCTGGTCCCCGCGGAAGCCACAGACCACAACCCTCCACTCCACTCTCAAATTATCAAATTATAACACAAAGATAATAAGTAATACACGAATAAGACCTATAACTATCAATGGTAACCCTTTAGAATATGTAGAAAATTATACCTACCTGGGAAAAATAATAAGTTTCGAGAAAAACAGTAACATTATAGAAATAGAGAGAAGGGTCCAACAAACGTGGAATAAATATTGGAGCCTAAAAGAAATATTTGAGAGTAACTTGCCAATAACTCTCAAAGCTAAAGTTATGAACTCATGTCTACTACCCAGCTTAACTTATGGAAGCCAGACCTGGAAATTCTATACTCCCCTCAGCAAACATTCGTAGAGTGACATACACTGTAAGCACTCCTATGCAGCTGATAAATAATTTAGTGACTGATAGTGAAGATTTAAATGACATTGAAAATAGGGAGCCACTCCCCTCAGCAAACATTCGTAGAGTGACATACACTGTAAGCACTCCTATGCAGCTGATAAATAATTTAGTGACTGATAGTGAAGATTTAAATTATATTGAAAATAGGGAGCCACTCCCCTCAGCAAACATTTGTAGAGTGACATACACTGTAAGCACTCCTATGCAGCTGATAAATAATTTAGTGACTGATAGTGAAGATTTTAAGATCTACACCAGACACGCTATGGAATAAGGCTAAACAACTCATCCAAAATGCAGTCACGGAGTCTAGTCCGGGATCAAAAACGCGCAAACGTTAACACTGGATGACGGACAGTGACCCTTGCCCTTATAGAAGAGAGGCGCTTTAAGAAAGCCGCAAGAGCAGACATAAGAGAACTGAATCGGCTGTCTGCTAACATCCAAGCCTGCTGCAGGCGAGACCATTATTCCCACCTTCATAGCATTTGTGACGAACTTGAAAAACATGCTATGAAGCACGAGTCTAGAGATCTTTACCACAAAATTCGTCTTATTACTAAATCTCTACCTGCTAAAACCTGGGGGTCTAGCCAAGATGGCTTAACAGTAGTGTATGTAGAAAGTCGAAAACTAAATTTGTATGAAAATGACAGCTCGTGTCGACAGTCGGTAGCCTAGGCCCTAAAGGCGTGAGTTGGGATACAATAAGCGACGCCATGACAGTGCTACGAAAAGACACACATTAACGCTTACGCTATTCGGTAGCCAACGGCCAATTAATGTTTCGGCAGTGTAGAAAAAACGGCGTTTCTCCGCCATGTTTTAGCGTGATCTCAAAAGCTGCTGTTTGCAATAATTCAATACAACTATTGCCATCTTTAATGGCTACCGTTTTAAAAACATGTCATATTTTGGACGTTTTAACGAAATGGTTTTAATTTGTTATCTGTCTTTTTTTACGTTCTCGTGTAATTATAATAATTTAAACTAGAGTTAATATTTTTAAGTTAAGTTTTAGTTTTTCTATGAATCAATGCGAGGATAACATAATAGACACAGATAAATATGAAAATATCAAGAAAATCAGCAAATTAGTAGAGGTAAATCCTAGTTATATTGGATATCTTTTATTGATATTTATATTGCATGTAAGTTCATGAAATTGTTCTTTAATTTGAAAAATACATATACCATTTAATATTGCATATATTATGTAATCACAAAGTAAAATGATTGTACATTTTATTTGTATATTTCAGATGAGAAAGCAGTCACTAATGAACATAATTAGAAGTTCTAAATATACTTTATTGTAATTATAAAAGAAGCTGATAATGATATAATATTGATTTAAATTAATCAAATGAAGTGGATTTATACTTCATGAACTTTGGAAATATAAAATATAGTGAGCAATACTAAGTACTTAATGGTAAGCAGATATTTTCTTTAATTATTTACTAAGTTAATATACTAGAGAAGTTATTATAATATTGTTAATGTATGAGAAGTTTTAATTCAAGTCCCTTGGGAGTTACTGACATTGTTTGGTTATTAAAAACTTTAATTGACAATAAGCAGCAAAGTGACAAATTAAGTATAATTTTTAAGTTTGGAATTAAGTAAAGACTTTTAATATTAAAGTTACCTATTGATCAAAGTACTTACTAAAATATTTTATTTTCAGAAAAAGAGATGCTAATAAGACAACTATTAAAGTGTTATATTATGTACCAGAAAATGAATTTGATAATGGGGAACGAAGCATTTTATGAATAATGTAAAAAATAAGACAAGTGGAGTATGAAATAATGGTTGGTTAAGTAACATTACCTCAAGAACAGGAAACAGTAACTGAAACTATGTTCTTCCACATTTAATAAGTTCAGCAGTATGAATGTTAATGAGATATTATTATAAACAAACTGCATTTGTAGATTTTGGGAAGAATTATATCTTTACAATAACTATTATCATTTACAATTGTTGTGTTAAGGAAACAATCACTATTTTTTTAAATCGCCCAGGATGTATTCATAGTAACTGTAGGTATCATAGTAATTTTATGAAATCATCACAACATCTAACGTTAGGTTTTATGAATTGAAATTTTTTTTGTATATAACAGCACACAAACAAGATATTGACATTGCTGCAAATTAACACTTATATTAGTTAATTATCTACATATATGAATACATCTACATTCGGTAGTAATGCATTTAATTTGGTGCACCTGCGTGTGTTCAGTAGTAATGTCTGTATTATTTAATAAGTTGTTACATATGCTTATTTTTCTATGTAGACTGCATTATGTTAAGGAAGATATTTGGTGCCTTATTTTATTAAAAAATAACCATAACTGAAACATTTTTATTTTGCTACCTGTTTGTTTAATATTCCTAACTATTAGTAGGTATGGGTCATTCATATATGCATTATCTGTATATTCTTGTAAAATAAACTAATATTGTGAAGTGAACCACTTTCAATGGCTTTTCCTACTAAAGACAGGTAAATTACCAAAAATAAAACTGACAAATACATAACATACAATGTTTATTCATTTCTTACTTAAACAGATTTTGCATTTACATATTAACTAGTAGCAAATCACTGATATAACCAAAAGTTAATTGACATAAATTTTAACTTAAAATCAGCATCAAACTTAAATTTATATCTAAGATGTTGGAGCATCAATATGGAATCAAGGGTTGATTAAGGGTTATAATTTCATACC